CAGCGCGCCTACCGAAAGCGCAAGGAGTCCCGTCTCGAGGAGCTCCAGGCCCAGATCCAGGACATGAGTCAGAAGAACGACGCGCTCTGCTGCGCTTACAGACTCTTGGCCAACGAGTGCTGCAGGCTCCGCGCGAGCCAGCAGATGTCTGCTGTTGCGGGGCAAAGAGCTCCGGCGTGGGACTTGATGAGCAACACCACCAGCAACAACGGGGCCGGGAGCTTGGCACTGGACATGTCTGCGCTCGACGTATACCGCATCGTCCCTCCTCCCGTCTCGACTTCGAGTCCCGTCCCCGAGTCATATCTCGACTATCCCGGGAGCCCCGAAAAGTTGTGGAGCCCCTATTGATCGCGAATCCAGCGGAAGAGGGGAATGGATCGTCGGGATTGGGATTTGAGATCGGGTGTTGAGAGCCGGTGATTACGGGGATAACGACTTATGGGAGCTCTATTGTCTCCTTTTTTTTCATTCTCTTTTGACGATCTTGATAGGGCTTTCTAGAGTGGGGGGTATTTCCCTGTTTCTATGGAGGATTTCTGGACCGGATGAGCGACTCTTTGGGATTTTTGCGAATGGAGTCTGGTGTTTTTCCTCTTGAGCCCATTTCTTTTCAAGATAATCATTGTCGGACACGAAAGTTTCGACACGGCAGCCATGCCCAACATCTCCGCCAAGTTCGTGTATATCACGAAGCTTTTTTGGTAGATGAATCAACAAATCATAAAATTTGATCAACAATTCAATATTGTCTCTGTTTTGGAATTCCTCGTATTCATCGTAGTCCACTTCACTTACAGGCTGTACAGCGGCACAGCCAACCATCCACGCAGCGTGCGGCCGTGGAAACCGCGGAAACCCTAATACCCAACAACCATGGCTATCGTGAAAGGAAAAAATCTCATTGCTTTGCGTCACCCCCATCTTGAGATGACACGAACGAGGGCCTAGATCAGCACGTTGCCACAGGTCCTCCCGGAACGGTGTATGTAGTTGGCTTTTTTGACCCCGCCAAGACATTAGCACGACTCGCTCACGATGACTTCACTTTTCGTCGGTGCGGTTAAGGGCGGAACGTGTGCGCGCGACTCACCACTGGGTAGTAAATGTTGATCAAGATACCGGGCTCGTTGCCAGTGTATGCGCCCCTAGTGATACGCGGAGATTAACACACCTGCCAGATCCTATCAAGGTTCCATTGAGAGGAAAGATTTTCTTTTCTTTTTAAACGAGAACGAGCCGCGCGCCGCCCGCCCGCTTCTGGCCCTGCTGGTGGAGCTCCGTGGGTGTGGGAAGAGGTTGGAATGGATTTCTTTGGAAAAAACAGAACATGGAACGATCAATGATATGGAAGCTTGGCTGGGACAACTCACGGGAATCTGACGGTAGGCGAGAACGAAGCACTGCCGCTCCCTGAACCCGTCACCTTGATCTGGGCGCACGAGATGTAGAACTGGGCTCCGGCCTTGGCGCTGGCGGAGTGTAGTCCAATCTGCTCGATGCGGAGGAGGTACTCTCCCGGGGCTAGACTCCGTCAGTACTCCGACCTGCCAACTCCACCACACACGGAACGGGGTGTTGAGAACATTTCTAAATGCCCGTCCCTGGGGACCAACAGTGATCACGGCTGCATAATCCCGGATAAGGGGCGTACGGGGGAAGCAAGCAAGCACATGTAGCACGAGTAAGTCGAACACTTGACGACTTGACGACTTGACACAAGAAGAAAGTCGTGACGTACGTGTGCATGAAGGGATTTGAAAGTTGAAGCCGGCCTGGTTCGAGGCGGGGAACTTGATCTGCCCGTTGCCTGTCTGCGCGCCTAGCTCCCAGATCTTTGCCCAGGGACCGCTGCCGTCGTAGGTTGTGACGTTGCTGGAGGACCCCGCGGCGGGCGAGAGCCAGACGATGACGGGCCCGTCGTGGTAGATTGCTTGGTCCATTGCGAAACCGACCTGCAGGCATGAGTGAGTTAGTAGCAAGTCGAGTCGAGTCGAGCGACAGTCCGCGGGGCTTCGGGGGTAAGGTATCATGATACGGAAACACGGAAACACGGAAACGGGGAGGGGGTGAGGGATCGGGAGGCGGATAAGGGGTGTGAGAATGGGAGCACAAGTAGGATGGAATATTTACGGTCGAGCCCGCCGCGACGGTGGCGATCTGCGCCGCCGGACCCGAGGAGAGACCGCCAGCGTTGCAGACGATGTCTTTGCTGAGGACGTCTGTGACGGGGCTGTTGTAGTTTGTGTTGCGCCGGACGTGGACATATTCGCCCGTGTTGACGCCCCCAACTACGAGGCTTGTGAAGCGGTCTGGTTAGGTAGGTTCGTTAGCTGAGGATAGGAATAACTTCACGCCTGAGACTTCTCACAGTGAGCGGAGACGACATCGCTCAGAGCGACGAGCGTCGTGAGGATTGCGACGATGGCCTTCATCTTGAAATTTGCAGTAAATGTTCCTGGAAGTTATTGAGAGGTACGTGTCTCAGTAAACCCTTCAACCGGACCTCAGCGGTATTCGCCTTGAGGGCGATGCTCGATAGTTAAGCCTATTGAACGACTGATTTACAACACACTTCGAACGAATTACCCGTAAGACACATCGGGGAGCCTAGACTACGATGCTAATAGTTCCGTCCAGTACTTGCCTAATACGCAGAAAGGGCTGTCGAGGTTAGATTGCCGAGACGTGGCGATGTTACTAGAATGGATATAGCCGGTGAGTTCTACCGCATAACATGAGAGCCCAAGTCCTTTCATCTTAGGCTGCTGATTGATTTGCGCGTGGGGACGAGTCTACTTCCGCTGTGGTAACCAATGTAATGAGGAGGTTGGCTCTTGGCCGCTCCAACGTAGGAGACACAGTCTGCTGCGAGGGCTCAAAGTCTTCTGTTCCATCCGTTGAGTTAGCTGTCACGATTTCGGTGCCTTTTAGTAATGATCAGTCGTCTCGGCGAAGCGGAGAAAAGACAAGAAGAATCACCAAAAGAAAAAGGTGGTGTTTCAAAACACTTATTGCAGTAAACGCAAGCCCCATCAAGTCGGCAGACACCGCTTTGCATAAAGATCGCAGTGAAAAATGAACAATCCGGCGTCTGATTTGCATGTATCCATCTCTGATCACGACTTTCGTCGTTGGTTGACATCATCAGGTATCGGGCCGATTCCAATTAAGGCCACGGCAGCTATTCAATTATACTACTCAACCGCATACAATAGACTATCCGCGTATGAGACTATCGTTATTTCTCCGACTCGGAATCAAACTCTAATAGAGCGGCCGGATGCAAGTCGGCCATGTTACTCGGTGCGAACATGGGTCACTTCGCCTTATCGGCGGGGCTCCCGGAAGCTCAAATCCCGAAAGGCAAGGGGGCGGATGTGTTCCACTTCCCGCGCGAGCCGGGAACGATCCACTTTCTCGCTCCGGGCGGGGAGACCGGAGGTGTTCCTGACAAATTCTAACGCCGTTGATCATGTGGGAAGCGAGTTGGTATGGACCCGGTCGTCTTCTATGCTTGATTCAGATGCTTATGAGGTCGGTCTCGGGACTAGAAAAGAACATTCGCTCCGAGGTCATCACCCCTCGCCTTCATTGAATAATCATCATAATCTGACTAGAATGAGCTCCTATATGTTGGATTCATTATTGAGTAGTGGTATGAGGATGACAGATCAGTGAGCGGAGGGAGAGAAAAGGTACCGTTTAGAGCTCGGAGGTTCTGGCTCCGCGGAACTCCGTTTCACGATCCCGGATAACTTCCGAGAAGGGGTTTGCTGCGAATGTAGACCATCCCATCAGACTGCTCAGCATTGCCATATTGATATTCTAGGAATGGCTGTAGTCTCATATATAGTTTATATCAGGAGATATGCAGCTGTGGCAGTAAGGACATCGTGGGTCGTAAATACAGACTGCCACTGATAATGGCTCTGAACACTGGCACTTGTAGCATTCTCTGGGAAAATGGGAGAGATGTTTGTTCACAATGCTCTTCAATATTCTCTCAAGTCACCTTCCTCATCTTGCGATCCGTCATAGGTGGTGTTCAGCATAAAGTACCTTACTGTAGGCAGTGCTTCTCAAGAACACATGCAGCTGGGCCGGGGACGTCCGTCGTCAAGTGACCCACACGGCTAAAATGCTATCCCATACAAGCTTAATTTAAGTAGATTGCAAAGTCCGGGGTGCATTTCATTTGCGGCAAATGGACGGCTCACGTGCTATGCATGACTTCTGCCGGTGGCTACATCACTTTCAACACCGTTGTCAAGATCCAACGCCACCCTGCATTCAGCTTGTGGTTCTTGACGAGATCTCCGTTGTTCGTTTCCCCGAAACACAGTGATAGGGCGTACCACGTTGTAGACGTCGTCTTCATGATGATTCTGGATTTGTCAGCGTTGGAGCACGTCGAATGAGCCAAAAGATCTTGCCCGAGAGAGGTAGCAACCCTCTAAGGGTAGCTCTGGATGCTGTATGGGAAGTGACTAGACACTCAGAGCACACCCTCGACCACTGACCCTGTTACCATTCAAAGCCAAGTCTCGTGGTCCGACAACGCTGCCCAGCATTGGCGGGGCCATATTGGACACAACCAGGTCAACTCAGCGTCTGGTACCGTTTCCTGGCCATCAGAGTGAACCGCCCATCACGCGATGCAGCAACTATGGGCGATATTCCGGAGACCCGTCAACAGCCGAAGTAATCCCACCTCTCACCGTTGCCACGTAGGGGGTGGTTGATTGCCAGCGTTGATTGAACCCCCTCCCAATCACGACTGCTCTCCGGAGTAGGTAGCATCAGGGAAGCAGGACCTCCGAGCCGCTTCACCCGCAACTTGACATAACCCATGATTGAATATCCGGTATCCCCTTTTAAATGATGAATACAAAGCCAAGAACCTGCAGACGTGGTCCCTCCTCTTCATCCTTCATTCGAGTCAGCACCCAGGCACACGCTCGTGTTCTTGACCAGACGCAACTTACGGACCCGCCACCATGAAGTTCCTCACCGTCGCCGCCGTCCTCTCGGCAGCCGTCTCGGAAGTCTCTGGACACTACATCTTCCAACAGTTGTCTGTGGGATCCACAAAGCACGACGTCTTCCAGCACATCCGGAAGAACACCAACTACAACTCCCCGGTCACAGGTAAGTGCCCTCATCACTCAACCCACGTGTTCTGTCCCGGCCAGAAGATACTGAATCTCGGACTACAAGACCTCGCCTCGAATGACTTGCGATGCAACGTCGGCGGTGCCAGCGGCGCGCAGACGACGGTGGTCAACGTGAAGCCAGGCGACTCCTTCACCTTCACCCTCGACACGGCCGTCTACCACCAGGGTCCAATCTCGCTGTGAGTACTTACTCAACCGCGAGGACAGTATCATCTACTGACGTATATCCCAGCTTCCTGTCCAAGGCACCCTCTCACGTCCAAGACTACGACGGGTCCGGAAAATGGGCCAAGTTCAAAGACCTCCTCCCGACCTTTAGCAACGGCCAGGCAACCTGGCCAATGAGACGTAAGATACTCACATCATCAATCGTATCCGCCAAGGAAAAAGACATCGGACTGATCGCTGACACCTCCCCCCAGAAACCTACGAGCACAAGATCCCAACGTGCCTCCCCAACGGCGAGTACCTCCTCCGCGTCCACCAGCTGGGAATCCACAACCCCTACCCGTCGGGCATCCCGCAGTTCTACATCTCGTGCGCGCAGATCAACGTCACGGGATCGACTGCGTTCGCGAGCTCGTTTGCGCCGACTTTGAGTATTCCTGGTGCTTTCAAGGAGACTGATCCCGGGTATACTGTCAATGTAGGCGTTGTCCCCTCTCGTGAAAAGATATATTGGGCTGTGTGGGTTAGCTAACATGTACGCTTGTAGATCTACCAGCCTGGATTCACATCGTATGAGGCTCCTGGTGGCGCAGAGGTAAGTTTGCGTATCGAGGCAAGTTGATGTGTAAAGGCTGACAGTGTGTGTAGTGGACTTGCTAAGCTTTGGGTTCGTGATTGATGGACTGGGCCATGGTAGTTGGGTGTTTTGCTTTGCGGTTCTCGTCCAATTCCATGGCTTGGAATACATGAAATAGCAAACAGGGGATTGCCACAATGGAAATGCCCTTCAGACATGCTGTGTTCGTCTGTCCGGCAGCTCGCCAACTTTCTAGTGACTCGCTGTGATGTGCCGCTTGGCATTCTCTAAACTTTTCACATGGGTCAAAACAAACCATCTGAAGACTTCATCCAAAACGACGAGATTTTGAAGCACTGGGCCCTGATTTGTCCGCAGCGAACAACTTTGTCGTTTGAACAAGCCAAAGAATGCAGATTTGGCACCACACTGAACCAAAGTGTTCAAGGCCCCCGATTCCCAGCGATAAGGTCATACGATACCAAGACGGTGGTTGTCAGATTTATGCACCTGGTCGGGGATTTATGTAACGGGCCGATTGCCAGATCTTAAGGAGGCTCCATTTCGCTATCCCTACACGTCCGCGCTTGGCATGTGTGGGATTTCCCATCACTGGGATTTCGTTACATCCTAGATTCTGGAGTAAGCAGGCTTCTCCGCGTTGTCTCGTGATGTGCAGTTGAGGGGTACATGGATACTCGGTCAGAAGTCCTTCATAATATCAACCCCGTATTACCCAGTTTGCCATTTCTGTAGCCACTGGGCCACCAGAGATACGGAGACAGCCCCAGATGCTTCCCCCCGGAAAGAGACCGGTCTGGCCTCACTGCCCACGGCATGCCAAAGTTCTGAGACCGCTGAAGCCATGGCCTGGGCCATCCTGTAGCCCCTCGACTTGATCATGTGAGCGTAGCGACACCGGCCATCGTTCGAGGCCGCGTAGTCGGCTCGGTGGCAATCTGCCCCATTGGAAGAGCAGCACCGGCAGCGGCTCTGCCGTCGTTCCGTACCCGTATATGCATCCTAAGCCTCTCCGACCATCTCCCACGTCACGGAAGGTGAGGTCGTAAACCTACCATCTCCAGTGTGCTTTAGCTGAACACACAAAGTTGGAATAGTCTCTGTTGCCGCGTTCCCGAGAGGCGTTGGAGCCAGTTCGAACTTTGTCTGGTGTTTCGAGCTGGAGCGAGCAAGCCCCGTTTATAGACAGCGCGTCGGCGCTCGACTGCGGGCGAGCTAGGGATGTAATCGATACGCGAGGATTCTCCAGCATGGCGCGCTGGCGGAGAGAAACCCCCCCCCCCCCCGCGTTCCTGGAGATATCGGGCCTTTGGTGGGACTAATGGGTTGTTCTTAAGCGAGCGAGACTGCGCGAGCGCCCGCAAAGGAGGCGTCTGAGACGGAGCCCATCCTCATTGCCAAGCAGCCGGTGAACGTTGCGGCGTGTTGTGCATCAGGTCGTTGGCTAACGGGGAGGCGATGGAACGAAGGTGGTGATGTATGTTGAGAGGTTGTTGAGAACACGAGAAGCGTCTACGAGAGCTATCCGGCAGCATTTACTAAGTGGTTTGCGAGTAGGCGTTGAGGATGTAACAGCAGGTTTGGTGCGCACATCAGCGGCTCAAGTCAAGTCGTCGTGGGTTTGCGGCGTTTGCGCCAGGATTGTTGGCCGAGGCCGGGATGGAGCCCGGGCAAAGACAACGAGGAAGCGCCGAGAGAGGCAGCGGGAATGTGGGCGACTGGGGAAGAGGCGCTTACAAGAGCGAGATTATGGAGCGCGGCCGATCTGACAAGACTGACAGGCATCGGCCCGGATGGAGACGTTGGCTGGGATGAGAGTCATTGTCGGCAGTAGTCGTAATTGTACGAGACTTGCGACTATCCGTACGGAAGTCAGTGCTGTAAATGGGAATGGCAGCTGTCACTAGTCTCGTCGATGCTTGTAAGGATCCGAACCGACGGGATAGACATGCAGAAATGGAAGAGACGGCGAGTGTTGAGATGGTGTGAGGGCGACCGAATGAAAGATGGTCGGTGAATTCGGATTGAAGCCACTGACGTCCTCCGGCGATTCGACGATCTGCTGACGGGTTATGCTTGCAGCAAACACTTCCGAGTGGTTTGCCAGTTATTCCATTTGAGCGAGGACGTCAATGTTGATTATGCCATGATGCCGCCGAGTTTCTCATCATCGTGAAAGAAACTTTATGAATAGACAGAAATGAAGACGAACAAAACTGTGAAGCCGCAGCTGACGATGAAGGTGGAAATTTCATACAGAATAGCAGCGAGAGAAATAGCGTTGGAGATGAGTAGTGAATGAGCAGCGAATGAGAGCCGTCAGTATGAGAAGCTGCGGATCCAACATCGAAAGGTGGGAAAGTACCAAAGTACCGCCCCGTGGGCACATTAAGGTATTGACGGGGGCAGCTGCGAGGAAACGGGCCGAAAGTGAGTTTCGACTTTTCAGTCGATCATGGCAAGGGTCCCTCACCTCTCACTTACTCCTCAGTCTGACTGACACTTTCACTTTCGTACTCAGTGTCACAGTGAGTGAGACTACCTTATGAGCCGAGGCCAGGCGATGATTGCCTTGAACCAGTGAGTCGGGAACGTAAGGTAAGGCAGCATAGCATGTCAGATGTCTCGAAACGACTGGGCAGGACTCGCCGCAGATCACGAGGGTGACACGATGCATGAGGTGAGAGAAAGGAGCTGGCCATGTCCATCGTCAATCCAGCCTTGGAAGGAAGCAAAACGCTGCGAGCTTGTGAAGACGGCAGTTGGCGGAGCCGACCACGGCGGGTCTTGACTGCATTGTCAGTTGGAAGGCACTGTGCGCCTGCCTACCTACCTCCTTATGTAATCTCATCCATCGAATAATTTCATAGGAGGCAGGAAGCCACGAGTTGACGACTTCCTTGGCCGTTGCTTGTTCCTTCCAAGCTCAGCGATCTGCTTGGCTGATTGGATCGCCCAGAGCCCTCCACTCCACATTGAGAAAGAGTACGTATCGCTAAGCGAGGGCCTCGGGCGGCGACGCGGCGTGACCGTTGTGGGGTCTCCACACACTTTCAAGCTTCCCCAGCCCGCCTTTCTGTCTGTAAACTGTTACTGGCTGGCGAGCCGCAAACCGCACATTCTCTCGCTCCCATCTTGTTCCTCTCATCCACATTTCCACGTTCAAACTCCACCTCTATGCCTCAAGCCTCAAGAACGAGGTACCTGATTAGCGATCCGACAGTGTGCCTCGGGCAATGTACCTCGATTGATCACAAATCCCCGAGTCTGCACTTCTCTGCTGCAGTCTCTACGGATACAGTACCACCATTGAGGAGCATCACCACCAGCGCCGAACATGGCCTCGAGCAATAGTTGCGATACAATGTGAATGAGCATGACGCACCATCCACTCTGTTTGGCACTCGTCAACTAATTGGGCGTATAGGCACACAATGCCAGGCCCACGTTGAACCCAAAAACAGACGCAAACCAACAATGAATCGAACCATCAGAATGATCAGAAGAGAGGGGCGTGTTTTGATGATCCAGCAAGAATGCTGCCCCACGGCCCACGCCCTGCCCATACGCCCTGGCAATCTCCAAACTCCCCGCCCTTTCTCCATCTTCTCCATGTCCTCCAGTTCTCCAGTCTCCAGAAAACCTTTGCCAAATTCTTGGGTGAACGACTCGGGGATGACCCACACGCCCCCAAGACGCGAGAGAGATGCAGGGAATTCGACTCGATGCGACCCAGAAAAAGTTTTTTCACCACCTGTCGCCTACTTGACACGACGAACCAACTTTGCTCAGATCATGCATCCATACAAGTGTACACCAACTATCCATACCATCGGGCGGAAACAAACACATCGTCCTATCCGTAGTCGGTCGCGTCGATCAATGTCGACCTGGCCCTACCTTGTCCGACGAACCGTTGGGGGCGTTGCTCATGTGCCCTCCCCGTGCTTCAAATCCAGCCTCGATATCTTTACCTTGCCGGACTGGGCCAAGTCGTAAACTAGACGCGCAGAGCAGAGATCTGCCGCCAGCCCGCGTCTCTTAGTTATCACCTCCGTGCCTACCTATGTCTCTTCTCGCTGGGAAAAGAATCCAATTGCTGTGAAACACTTGCTACCAGCCAGAGCTACCCCAGAGTCTCTCTCTCTCTCTCTCTCTCTCTCTCCCCCCCTCACTCCCTTTCTCCTTCACACCCTCTTACCTGACTAGCGCCGGCCATTCCCCTGCTGGGGCTCATTCACATTTGCTGGGGGATGAGGGGGACCCATGGGAAACCTGGTGGGCTAAACTGGCGACTTTGCGGCTACGGATACACCAAAGTAGTCTGTTTTATTGTTTCTTGGGTTTTTATGGTCTACCTCCCCTGCCACCTTCTCCATGGGGATCGTCGCAACTTGACCAAGTATCCAATACTTGGTTCTTTGCTGCTCGTGTGCGTTGATGTCGTGGTACTGGGTTCCGCGAGCTCACACATCTGCTCCTCCTTCTCCCTCCCTCCACATCGCAACATCACCTCGTGATCGTCCATCGGCCCTATCCTGACCTGTTGGACGTCTCTCCACATGGTTTGTCTGAACTCGAGTGTCAATTACACGCCCCTTTTGCAGAGAAACCTTGTTGCCTTGTCATGGCTCGCGTCCCACGAAAGGTCCAAGGTAACAGACAACATGCGGTAGCACCGTGGCACCTGTTCCCCCACCTTGGGGAAGGTTTCCCGTTGTGTGGGAGCTCCGCGTCGTACTGCATTCTGGGGACGAGCTTATATGCTCCTCGTTTCCTCCCATCTTTTTCCCCGGATGGCTTTCTTTTCTTCTCCGTCGTCGCGCTCAAGCCCTTCACTGCCCATCACTTCCTCAGACGCAGAGTCCGAGCAACTACATCCCCTCCGCTCAACTCGGCTTGACCTTTTCTTCTCACATTGCCAACTTCACTCGATTCAGATACCTCGGCCCGCCGTCATCATGGGTATCAAGCCTGATGGTGTCCCAGGCAAGGCCTGGCCGGCCATTGCCATTGGCTTCTTCGTCGCCTTTGGCGGTCTCCTCTTCGGATATGATACCGGTACTATCAACGGCATCCTTGAGATGGTATGTCCTAGATTCCTAGCCTCTTTGTGAGAGTCATCCAAACTAACTGCTTCTCACCAGTCCTACTGGCAACGCCTCTTCAGCACTGGCTTTGTGAACACCGCCGGCAACAAGGACGTCTCGCCCGACCAAGAATCCGCCATCGTCTCCATCCTCTCCGCCGGCACTTTCTTCGGTGCCCTGGCCTCCCCTTTCCTCGCTGATACCATCGGACGTCGCATGGCTCTCGTCGCCTCATGCTGGGTTTTCAACCTCGGTGTTGTTCTCCAAACCGTCGCCACTGCCATTCCCCTTTTCCTGGCCGGACGTTTTTTCGCCGGGTTCGGGGTTGGTTTGATTTCTGCTTTGGGTCAGTGTTATCGTGCTTCTTGGTGATGAACTTGAGCTAAACAAACGTCTACAGTCCCCCTCTACCAGTCCGAGACCGCCCCCAAGTGGATCCGTGGTGCCATTGTCGGTGCCTACCAATGGGCCATCACCATCGGTCTGCTCCTGGCTGCCATCATCAACAACGCTACCCACGCCCGCCAGGACACCGGATCCTACCGCATCCCCATCGCTGTCCAGTTCGCCTGGTCCTTCATCCTTTTCTTCGGCATGCTCCTCTTGCCCGAGACTCCTCGCTTCCTCATCAAGCAGGGCCACATCGACCGCGCCACCAAGGCCTTGGCCAAGATCCGCCGCCTTCCTGAGAACGACGCCTATGTCGCCGAGGAGATTGCCGAGATCAAGGCCAACAATGACTACGAGGCCACCGTCGGCACTGGTAGCTACCTCGACTGCTTCAAGCCCCCCGTGCTCAAGCGCCAGTTCACTGGCTGTGCTCTCCAGGCGCTCCAGCAGCTGACCGGTATCAACTTCATCTTCTACTACGGAACGCAGTACTTTCAAAACTCTGGCTTCTCCAACGGCTTCGTCATCGGCATGATCACCTCGTCCATCAACGTTGTCTCGACTCTTCCTGGTATGTGGGCCGTCGACCGCTGGGGACGTCGCCCCTTGCTTCTCTGGGGTGCCGTCGGCATGTGCGTCTCGCAGTTCCTGGTCGCCATGTTGGGAACCTTGACCACGGGCCAGGACGACACCGGCAAGATTATCGTGTACAACCTGCCTGCTCAAAAGGCCGCCATCGCCTTTGTCTGCATCTACATCTTCTTCTTCGCTTCCACCTGGGGCCCGCTCGCCTGGGTTGTCAATGGTGAGATTTTCGGCCTCAAGACCCGTGCCAAGTCTCTGTCTCTGTCGACTGCCACCAACGTAAGTTACCAAATCAACCCCCCCCCCCCATCATACCTGGTCTCAAATCGCTAATATGTGACAATACAGTGGCTTCTCAACTGGGCCATCGCTTACAGCACCCCCTACCTCGTCAACTACGGCGACGGCTACGCCAACCTGCAGTCAAAGATCTTCTTCGTCTGGTTCGCGTGCTGCTTCGTCTGCATCGCCTTTGTCTACTTCTTCATCTACGAGACCAAGGGCCTTACTCTCGAGGAGGTCGAGGAGCTCTACGCCGAGGTCAGCGTCGCCAGCAAGTCTGTCGGCTGGAGACCCGCCACCAACTTCCGCGAGCGCCAGGCCGCCGAGGGTGACAAGGCTGTGCCCAACAGCGATGGTGACATTACTCACCACGAGAAGACCGTTGGTGTTTAAGGGAGATTGAGGGTTGCTGTTGCATAGCGATGCCGCGAGGCGGGGAAGGTAATGGATGATCCCGCCGAGAGCGTAATGTCTGTCATGACGGGTGGGCGATGAAAGATACCTGTTTCTATTTTTTTAGTTCAAGATACCACCAAAAAGCTAATGTTAAATCTGCTCTATACAATGTGCTCAGTGTTGTGTTCCTTAGTGCTAGACGTTCCTACAGTGCTGCTTTACCACTGTCAGACGGGCTATTCAACGTCCGTGGCACACTGCTTCAGAGGTATCCAGCCACTCGGCGGTGTAAGCAAGTCACATTATCATAAATCGCTGATAAGAAGCATAGAAAATTAGTCTTCGTCTCGTGACTGTCTATCGCAACTACCTTGCGCACCGGTCATCATACCCAAGTACGGATCGCGGCACGATTGCATCCAACCCCCCTGCACGGCACACACCCGGCAGCAAACGGCCCCACGACCCCCTCGCTCCCGACTGGTTCTCCGGCCCGGCACTTCAACTCCTCGCTACCCCCCAATGTCCGACAATCACGCGAAGTTCACCCACCAGCCCCGGCCCCATCTCCCGGTCCCATCTCCCGGTCCCCCCGTAACTTTGCCGGATCCAGCTCGCCCAAGAGTGTGGCATTCACAGCCGAATAGGGCAGTATTCGCAGCCCTGGTGCTGTCTTTTACATGATTGAGTATCTTATCTTGAGGTTGTACCCATGTCGTGAGTTTCTTGTGTGACACATGATACGTATGTTTAGCTGGACGGGTAGAATGTCGGCTTATCGCCGGGCGTCGGACTTGATACGATTGGCGGGGATGGGAAAGAGTGCAGCCCTGTTGCGGGCATTGTCCCGTCCTCTGCGCCTGGTACTCGGCTTTAGGCGTCGTGCGTGATGTATTACGAAAGGTCTCTTGGCTTGTGGAACGTACCGCGTAGAAAAGTGAAGAGAAGGAAATCATATTCCCCGCGTGTTAGTATCGTAAGCCAGGCAGCTAAGTAGGCGATGGGCGACGGGCAAGGCTTCCGTTGATGTTGCGATGGTGGTCAGCTGGGACCATGATTGGCGGCCTAGGGAGCGGTGATCTCTCTGCGTTTGTTGAAAACGAGTCGAGTGAAGGGTCAAGGGGTCGGCGAAGCGGCGTAGGTGGGGAGAGAAGTATAAAAGGGGAGGTGATGCCGCTCAACTCAACCTGATTTCTTTCCTGGACTTACATCCTCGTCCACATCGACCAAACCCACCCGTCTATCAAGTCAGACCTCATTACCACACGCTTGAACCATACTCTGACAACTTCCAACACAATGGCCTCACGATACCCAATGCCCAACATCTACACCCAGCAACCCAAACCAAAGCCCGATTCATCATCGTCTTCTTCGTTTACCACAGCCGTCAAATCTATCTTCTCGGCTCCTACATCGTACCCCTCGACCCCGTACTCAACGTCAAAGTACCCTCTCCCGACGACGTATACACCGAGAGGCGAGATGAAGGACAAGGGGTCTATTGGGGAGCAGCAGATGGGGGTGGGGTCTAGGGTCTCTGTCGAGTCGAGGGATACTGTTGATGAGATTAAGGAGGAGAACTTGCGTGGGTTGGGGCGGTAGAGGGATGTGAGAGTTGGCGACGAGGGTGGATGTTGGGTTGAGGAAGAATCCTTGTATTGTTGAGAGGATAGTTTACGTGGGCTGTCGAAGGGGTAGAGAGCCCGTTTGTCTATGTTGTTACATGTGCCGAGTACATTGGTGATTGAGTTGAATTGCAGTTTACCGTTACTTGTGTCAAGTCTGGACGATTTATACAAGGCACTGAACCGTGTGACGTGCTAACAACTAAATGCACAACCCATCTCTTTTAAAACCTGCATGGTCCTGGCCATCGTCGTTGAGCGTGTCACAACTAGCTAGCGACAGCGGCTCAGACTAAGGACGTTGCGGTTTCCAATTTGACCAGATTAAACGAGTATTCAATGTTCATCATATCTCATTACAACTACGTCGCTCATACTTCTAACTCAAACCACCCCATCCCACCCTCTAGGCTTAATACGTCGTCAACTCAGGGGACCCCTCCGCCCTGGGAAACGAAAACTTCGTCTCAACAAAGATCTTCTGGATCCCGTCCTCATGCTTCTCAAACTTGTAGTACACCTTGTCCAAATCATCAAGACGGATGCGGTGCGAAAGCATCTGGTACACATCAATCTTGCCCTCCTGGATCTTCTTCAACAAATCCTCCCAGTACAGATGAACAGGCGCCTGCCCATTCCCGATAAGCCGCACCCCGCGCTCCATCAGCGACCCAATGTTGAAGTGGTTCGTGTACCCGACATACACGCCCGTGATGCCCGCCCTTCCAAAGTTGCGCACGCCCTCAATCATCTCGTTGACAATCTCGCTCGTGTCCGTCTCGGCGCCGAGCGCAATCTCGACCGTGTGAAGCCAGCCCTTGGGGTACTCCCCCGCAGCACACTCCAGCGCGGCGTCCGGCCCGCGGCCACCGCAGAGTTCCTTCAGCCGCGAGACGACCGTCTCCTTGTTGGTGACGCCGTGCGAGAGCGTCTTGTAGTCAATGAGCGCGAGCTTGTCCGCGTGCGCGGCGGGCCACTTGGACTTGATGTAGGAGAGCCGCGGCTCGGTGTCGACAAAGATGACCTTGGAAGCACCTTCATCGAGGGCGAAGGCGCCCGCCATTTGGCCAATGGGACCCGCGCCCCAGATGGCGACTTGGTCGTTTGGGTAGACGGCCGTGTCTTTGACGCAGTTGTAGGAGGTGGCGAGGACGTCGGAGAGGTAGAGGGCCTTTTCGTCGGGGACGTTGTCCGGGATGGCGAGGAGGTTTACGTCGCCGAGGGGCACGCGGACGTACTCTGCCTGTCCGCCGGCGAAGCCGCCCGTGAAGTGGGAGTAGCCGAACATGCCGGCCGTTTGGGAGCCGTACATGGATTTCCCCATTGTGTTGGAGTTGGTTCGCTCGCACTGCGAGGAGAGCTTTTGTTTGCAGTAGAAGCACTGTGTGGTGTTAGATGATGATGCTATTTGGGTCATGTTACAAAAAAAGGGGGGGTGGGGGGCACTCACGCTTCCACATGCGATTTGGAACGAGGCGACGTAGCGCTTGCCGACCTGGGCTTTGGTGACGGCGGATCCGACTTGGTCAACGACACCGCAGAACTCGTGGCCGAGGATGTCGCCCTTGTTCATCTGGACGACGGAGCCGTGGAGGAGATGGAGGTCGCTGCCGCAGAGCGTGCTGCCGGTGACCTTGAGGATGACATCGGTGGCCTCGAGGATCTTGGGCTTTGGTACGGCGACTAAGGGGTGGAGGGTTAGGATATATTATTTCAAGGGGGGCACTGGCTGTTCATCACTCACCGACTTCGACCTTGTTCTTGCCTTGCCAGACGAGTGCTTTCATGAGCTCGCTGTCGTCGCCTTTGCCTCCGCTGTATTCAGTTACATCTTGGGCGGTGATGGCGTCGCCTTGGTGGCCAATGGCCTTTTCGGCTGCGTATGCTGCTTGTGACGCCATTTCTATGTGTGATTACTGATATGAATGCTTGGATGTTGAGAAGAGTGCCAAGGTCTCGAGCCTACAAATTGCTTGAGCTTCACTTGTCTCAAGTCATTGGGATCACTGGTCCTTATAGAAAATCACAAAGAGAACACAATCATCACACAACTAAGCAGTCCATGGCCCGTCCAGGTCCAAAATCCCCTGAAACGAACCAGCCAAATGAGTGCGATGCGACACTGGCCGGGCAAAAGACTCAAGTTCATGACGGCGCGGCGGCGTCATTTTCGACGGAGACGCGACGTCATGGATCCCAGCGCCTCCAGAGAGACACGGCATGGGAGCAGCGGAGCTTTGTTTCCTAGAGCCAATGAGAGGGGCGATTCGGCTCGAAGCGGATGTGCATGCCACATGGTGTGCCCTTTCTAGGCCGTCTGAGTGGGTTGATATAAGGATGAAATAAGAAGTAGGCAAGGGGTGGAACGAGGCTGAAAATTACATGCTTATCCGAACGAGTATGTTGTGGAGGGAGGTTTGGCGACGGGACGGCATTTGCGAGATTTGCGATTGCTCGGGGAAAATTCGATGTTGCCCCCTCGTTGCACCCCTGCTCGCGACTGGAGACTCACCATGCTCCATGGTTCGTCGGCTTCGCGTTCGGACTTTAGAGAGTGGCACTGTGGAAGTTTGGTACTGGAGGTCGGTTAGGAGACTAGACGACGTCAGGTGAGGTCGTGAGAGTGCTTGTCAGGCTTGAGTAAGCTCGGCAGTGAATCGAGAAAAGGTCTGGGTTCCTGTCTGGGTGGGTATTGGCGGGGTCTTCTTTTGGCGTGATGTAAGTCTCTCATGTGAGGGCCAAGCTCATCCATCTCATTTGAAGAGCATTTCATGTGTTCATCGCATGTGTGGAGGACACGCGGCTGAAGAGTTAGAGATCGGATGAGATTGGTTATGGTCTTGCATGAGACGAAGTGAACGGGAAACTGAGTGCCTTTATCTCGAGTTCAAGGTCATCAAGGTTCACTCTTGCAGCAACTCAAGAATGGGAGAAAACGCTCAGCTTGGCTGTTGAGTCTAACACGGCGAGACTGAGGTGGGGTGAGCGTTGAACTAAGACAGACGTCACCACTCGGAGATCGGCTAGCTCATCTCATGCCGCGATGTGATGACAAGACCCAGATGGCACCAGCTGGAGCTCAAGCTGTGTTTGTCAAGTTGGAATGCCATTAGACAAGGGTAGTTGATTGTCACCTTAGGTAAGATGGGTTGACACGTGAGTCGACAATCAGAAATAAAGACGCAACGGCGGCACAAGGATTAAGGTCCTCGCTCCCGTCGAGCCGGCAATGAGGGGCCTCTCTACCTTGGGAAACTTGGGGTAAAGGTACGGATGGAGGACCAGACGGAGGAACTCGTTGCTTGGCCGCATGGAATCCCACATTGGCATCAGGAACCTGCGACTCAATATGGCAATCCGGAGCATGCTGCGTCCGCAAAGGACAACAACGCCGTTGGAGTTGCCAATCTGGCCACATGGAAGTCTGTTTATATGAGAAGGGCCGGGCAGAGTTGATTGTGAGATGGGTGAAGCAAATACACACTGTTTCTTGTTAATGTTCCTGTGTCAGTCTTTCATCGCATTCTTCACCACTCGTCAAGCCCTTACCTTCACGAGAAACCACCTCAACTTCAAGCAAAGTCACACGAATCAACCACCACAATGAAGTCCACATCCCTCCCCCTCGCCGCCACCCTCCTCGCGACCGCCACCTCGGCCTTCCAGGTCGGCAAGCCCCCCATGCCCCAAGCAAAAACCACAATGGCAGACAACTTCCCCTGGCGCGACCCCTTCACCTCCGCAACCACAGACGCCTACACCCCGACCTGCTCCTCGTCAAAGACCTTTTCCGCGACGCAGTACACCCTCCACGACCTCTTTGACAAGCCGCCGACGGGCCTCTTCCCCTGGGGTGATGGGCTCAAGACCTTTTTTTCGGGCCGCGAGTACCCCGGCGGCTGGGCCGGTCTCGATCGCCACATGTATGATCGTAATGTTCTCATGATGGAGTACGCTGATGTGCCGGTGCGCGTGCGAGAGTGGATTGAGGAGGAGGAGCGGGCCGACGGTGCCGGGAAGGGCTTGTTTGCTGTGTTTGAGAAGCCTGCTGGGGAGGGGGACAAGGTTACGGAGCAGGTTGAGCTTGCTGAAGAGGTTGATCGCGGGCTTGATGGGGGGAGGGTTGCTATTTTTGCGCCGGGGGCGTTGTATCCTGTTCTTCCTCTATTTGTCGCCGACGGTAGCGATTGTGAAGGTGAGTCGGACTCGTTTCTTCCCTTTTCTTTCTACAAACGCATTCCTACGAGAGACTGGCTAACATCATCGCAGAGACGCTCGCCGATCTGAGCGGTTACCAGGCCGTGCCCAAGGATGCCGCCGTCGTGGCGTGGCCCGTCAGCCACACCCGTCCCGATACCGCCAATGACAAGAGGGACATTGAGTTCACCGTCAAGGCTCAGGTTCTCAAGATCAAGGAGGGAGCGTCGGGGGTTGAGGCTGCCGAGGAGTCAAAGGTGGCCGAGGAGTCAAAGGTGGCCGAGGAGTCAAAGGTGGCCGATGAGAAGACGACGACGTCGTCTGATGCGGCCAAGGATGAGTTGTAAAGAGGCGTGTGCTTTGCGGTGCAAGTGAAAGCTGCGAATGCATGTATGAGTAGATTCTCACCGCCGTCGTTTTTATTGATTAGTATCTTTCGATTGCATTTTGCCTTTGAGTTTGATCAAGTGCTGACAGGAAGACTGTCGATGTTGGTAGCGGCGTGTCCTAGCGGCTGTGCATTGCCTCGTGGGTTGTGATTGTCAGTCGATCACAATAGACTGGCGATTTCATGTTAAGCTTGATACTTCAAGCTGACGGGTCCCACAAGTCCTGGCGGAGCTAGTCCGTGTGTGACTGTCAACGTAAGCGATCTTGGTCAAGATGAGGGAAACAAGAATTATTAATCCTGATCCTTGGCGTTTTCTCCGTGGAACTCCACGGAGCGCCGTGGCCGCCACGGTGGCTGGAGCGCTCCACGGAATTCCGCGGATCTCACACCGAGACTGACCGAGACTCACCGAGAGTTGGACCACTTACACGCACTTCCCTGGTCTCGGTCTCGTGATGCAACCGCGCGGCAATAAGCATGTTAGTGTATTGTCTAGCTGATATCAAGGTTCAAGATGTGAGAAAGTCTTGATTTCTTGATTAGTATTCAAATCAAGTTTGAACTTTGGCGTGGGCACCTGGGAAAAGGAGGATGTGAGTCGGAATCCATAATGTTTGACTTGAGCGGTATTGTCGAAATCTGAAAGAGACAAGCAAGTCATCTCTGAGCGTCTGAGAAAGAAGAATTACAGGAGATATTTCTATCAAGTTCAGACAACAGCTGGCAGGGAAGATTGCGTATAGTTCCGTGCGGCTGAAGTCTCCCGGCATCTGCTACTAGATCCGCCGGGGAGCATGGCGCACCCACGGACGACTCTTCCGTGGAGCGCCCCGCTATTTCGCCGGGTCGACCACCACCACGGCAGCCGCCGTGATACTACCAAATTGCGCCATCGGCTATGCACTCGACTCCGCGGGCCTCGTGTCGATACCATAGCGCCGTCCGGGCTTGGTGCCGTGGAAACTGGAGATTGTCTTTATAAGTGAGCTTCTCGGACTCTTCAAATTGTCAAACATCATCAGCATCAGCATCATCTTCTCCATTATGACAGCATCTTGCAGTCTTCTTACACTAATAACCACACACACGTCTATAAACCTCTAGTCAACTACATCACCGCCGCAAACATGCCTACCCGCTACGAAAGCTCCCCCGCCAGCCCGGAACCCCTGGCCCGGCCCCTGACCTTCCCCTTCTCCGGCAAGACGGCCAAGAACCGCCTCCTCAAGAGCGCCATGGCCGAGTCCCTCGCAACCTGGAGCCCCACAGAGCCCTCGAAGCGCGGTATCCCAACGCCTGAGCTCGTCGAAGTCTACCGCCGGCACGTCCTCCACCCATCTCACCTCCATGTCTTTACGTGAAGAGCCAACCTACTAACCCAATACTCCCAGATGGGGCCAAGGACCAGACAACTTTGGCATCATCTCCACGGGCAACATCACAATCGAGTTCCGAGTTCGAGCACGTGAGCACCCTCGGCGACATGATCATCACCCCCGAATGCGCCCCCACCGAAGGCGACGCCCGCTTCGAAGGGCTACAAGGCCATCGCCGCCGCGGGCAAGGCCGACGGCAGCCTCATGATCGGACAGGTCAACCACGGCGGGCGCCAGGGGCAGAAGAAGATCCAGCCGAACCCCGTCTCCGCGTCCGCTGTTCCCTTGGGTTCGTTGTCTCTCTATTTACCCTCGAAACTTGATGCTAACCGCAAAACAGAACGAAAAATGGGCATGGAATTCGCACCGCCCCGCGAAGCCACCAAACAAGACATCACCCGCTTCATCGACGGCTTCGCCCACGCAGCAGCCTACCTCGAAAAAGCCAGGCTTCGACGGCATCCAGCTGCACGCCGCGCACGGCTACCTCCTCGCACAGTTCCTCTCGCGCACGACGAACCGCCGCACCGACGAGTACGGCCCGCAGACGCTCGAGAACCGCACCCGGCTGATTGCCGAGATTGGCAGAGCCGTGAAGCAGCGGACGTCGCCGGGCTTCATCCTGTCTGCCAAGATCAACAGCGTCGAGTTCCAGGAGGGGGGGGGGGTCATGACGTCTGATGAGGCGAGGGAGATGAGTGCCCTGCTTTCGGGGCTGGGGTTTCACTTGTTGGAGATTTCGGGGGGGTTACGTATGAGGCTATGGGGATGATTTGGGAGAAGGAGAGTACGCGCAAGCGAGAGGGGTTTTTCTTGGAGTTTGCGGATACGGTCGTCAAGGGACTTGGCTGTGCCTTATAGGGAGACTTCCAAGGCGTAGCTGTCTGGTGTTTCGACCTGGAGACGATTATTGTCTTGGTCTGCTTTTACTTGAACCTCAACAATTGGCTTTAGATGTTAGATTTCGAGAGTTATACACGGAATAGTCTTGCTTGAAACTTGTGGTTTGATTTCTTTGTTCACCGAGTTATCGTTGTAAGTGAGTCTCGTGCTGTCCCTCGGTGAGGCTCGGTGAGTCTCGGTGAGTCACTGTAAGTACATACCGAAACCCGGTGAGTACAAGGCCAACTTGGACGATCCCACAGCATTAGTCAAACGCATAGAAAGTACGCCTGCAGTAAGACTATAATATACACCAAACCAAAGATCCAAAAACTAATCAACAATTACTCGTGAGTCCGAGAAGGACTCGATCGCCGAATCAAACGACCCAAAAGAGTGCGAGCTGATTGTGGCTTGACGGGTGCCACTACAGCACATCCGTCAGCTCTGGATTGGTAATCTTGGCCCAGCGACGCAATCCCTGCGCTACTCCTGCGCACCGCCAAAACAGACGCAGGACCCCTGCCTCGCTCCCTTAATTGGGACGGGCGAACCACGACTCAGGTCTCCAAATGATTGAAATATCCAACTCATCCACCTTGACTGTCTCGAGTTTTCACTTGCTTGGCGGAGTTGAAGACGGTCAACCCCAAAAGACGACTTCACAATGGAGACTTCATCACAACGCCGCAAGGGTACAATATGCCACTTGACCATCCTCAACAAACCGTGGCTAACACGCTCACAGCCTGCGACTTGTGTTTCCTCAAGAAGATCAAGTGCGACATGCTCAAGCCGGCCTGCTCAAATTGCCTGCTGTATAAGTCCGAGTGCCGCACCACCACAGTCCGCCGCAGAGTAGTACCGACGAAAGAGCGCCAACAACGGCCAAAAGAAACTACCGCGGGAGAGTGCGTTGATACAAAATCCTCAAATCGTAGGAATTTACCAGCTGACGATGCTCCCCATAGCCCGAAAAGAGTGGCAGAGTTGGAGAGCCGCTTGGCAAAGATTGAAGAACAGCTGCAGCGCGCACTGGATGCGAATATTCGCCTTTCCAGCCAAGTTCCGGCCTCGGCACCAGTACCAGCACCAGCACCAGAACCAGCACCAGCACCAGCATCAGTCCAGCCTGCAACGATTACAGACACCATCGAGTTGCCCCTGGACAATGCCGGCGACTCAACCGACAGCACCGAGTTCATCAATGCCTTTTCCTGTAGCGAAAGCCCGAGCGAGTGGGTGGTCGAGACGGAGAAGCCGAAACTGCCGCCGCTGGAGGAAATCATGCCCGTTATTGACGAATTCTTCAACCGGTACAACTCCATTATGCCGCTCTTCGACCAGCCGACCTTTATGCGCATGCTCTCCGACTGGTATTCGCCTTCTACCTCTCACTCGTCCGCCGCATGGGCAGCCATCAACATCGCCCTAGCATTAGGATACCGCTGCACGTTGAAGCAGTCTGGAAATCTGGATGCCCTAGTGGACGACCAGAAGGTGCTGCACCACATGCGCAACGTGCAGTCTGTCGTGTCCGACTTGGTGACGCGAGAGGAGGATCTGCTAGGAATCCAGGTCCTCGTGGGCATGGTCGTTCTCTTTCAAGGGACAAAAGACCCCAAGCCAGCCTCAGTCCTCATCGGGACGGCTATCCGGCTGGCGCATCGGCTACACCTCCACGACAAGGAGTCCCTCCAGTACTTCCCGGCTGCGGTTGCCCGGCAGAGGTCACGGCTTTTTTGGATTACATACTGCATGGACAAGGACATCAGTCTGAGGTCAAAAACACCTTCGTTCCAGCTGGATGCAGATATCGACCTGCCGCTGCCGGAGCTGGACCCGGACGACGGGGCCGGCGTCATGGCTGCGTCCAATGGCAGCAAGTTCAACTTCTTCCGGGCGAGGGTCGAGCTCAGCCACATCGCGGGTAAGGTGTACGACCTCCTGTACAGCACCAGGTCGCGAAAGGTGGCAAAGTCGGAAGCGCAGCTGCGGGTGACACGGCTGGAGGAGATGCTCGAGACGTGGCGCCGCAACGTGCCTGCAGAATTCCAGCTCGCATCGCTGCTCGAGTACGCCGAGCCGCTCCCGGCGGTGCACCTTTCGCTTCTGTACCACAACTTCTTCGTGATCACCGTCATGGTCCACGGCATTTACTCGCACGATGCGGACTGGGTGCAGAGAATCAGTTCGTATGGCCGAGCGGCGATACAAGACCTGGATGGAGTGGGACAACCGCATAGCCGGCAGGACGCACCGTTGCCGCCGGGGTGGGCAAAGTGCGTGGAGCTCAGCCGGGACTGCATGAATCTGTTTGTGGAATCGCCCAAGACAGACTGCAGCATCTGGTCCAACGCGTGTGCGCACTTTTCGGGGCTCATCATTATTCTATCCAACATGTTTGTGTTCCCAGAGCACCCGAATATACCGACGGACAAGGAGCTCGCAGAACAGGCGATTCAGATGTTTGATATGATGCTGCGTATATCGGCAAACGAAGACTTTCGCAAGTTGCATGAGGTGGTCAGGGAGCTACACCGGCGGGCCATGGCGACGGTGGACAAGGTGGCGCGGAAGAGAGAAGAACAAGCGGCTGCGGCTGCGGCCGCGGCGGTGGAGGCCATGGACAGTTCGCTGCCGTTTGGGGTGCAATTCGAAGAGGATGTGAGTTTCTTTGGGGACGCAAGCATGGCGGACTTTACAGGGCCTTTTGCTGGAGGCGTCATGGAGGAGTCACCGATGACTGTGGATTCAGAGACGGCAGATACGTTGGAGGGCTTCGAGGGGCACTTGGGTCGTGCAGCTGCAACGGTTGGGCATAGCCATTATTAAGGCTGGAAGTGATATTTCATCGGCGTTGGTGGCTTGATGAGGAGTTTGAGGTGTCAATGATGTCTAGTGGGTGTGGCTTGTCATAGCTCTCTTGCGGCTACTAGATAAAAGGCGAATGGAGCTCAATAGAGCAAATGAATACAATAGTCATGATGGTCTGCGGCCTTGAGTTCGTGATGATCCAACAGAAATCGTTGGTGTTGAACTTCGGCGATTGGCGTCTTCGGACGGTGGGTCGAATTATGGGTCATTTTGGTGGGATTATTATGGGACCCCATGTTAGGTTTGGGGCTAGACTCGATTGGGAGGACATCAGTGATCCGAGCTTCAAGCTTCTGGCCAGTGAGGGGAGAGGAATTTGCAAGCTGGCAGGGATGACGGGACAAGGTGGGACCGTAGTGGGTAATGACGACCAGGAGTACAACTGAGGAATTGCACTGGAAGGAAGGAATGGCACAAAGCAACAGCAGCACTTCACCTTGGGGAAGGTGGTTGCCGCCGCTAACCCCGGGAGATCCTTCCCTGTGGAGGAACGAGCTCACTATCATGGCGTCATCATTAACTCGTCGAAATTTGGGGAGGAAGTTGCGTCCCTTTTTGTCATCAAGTTACCCATACCCAAGGTATTTGGGCGTGTACGGTGTACCTCACATTCTCGCGTCTTTCTGACCATCCGGTGTTTATCTGCAGCCATTGTGAGCTTCCCTCACGCACAGCGCATGAATGATGATGCTCTGAATCCTCACAACTCTCCCGCCCGACGTTACAAACACAGAAATACTGCCCCCCCGTGCCGCCAGTCGAACACCCTCTACCAACCAAACCCCGGTCATAAACGAGTCAACGTCAATGTCACCAATCTGAAGACGCGAATCTCCATCGACTTTCCCCATCTCTCAGCAGACCGCCTTCCATCACGTCTTGCCTCATCCCACCTTACCCCAGTTACAGGATACTTGTCGCACCGTATCAGTCTACTTGTCACCGCCGGAAGCTTTTACCTTCCATTAGCCATCCAGATCTGTCTATTCCGTAGCTAGAGTAGCTGCTACACTGCGTCTAGGAATACCTAGGTAGTCTTGGCCTTGTGTGCTTTTGTTATCTGACTCCCTCTCCCCATCGTCCCAGTGCTTTACATCAGCAGCTGTCAGTCGGAGTACCCCTCGACGGTCACCGTAACGTCTTCCCCTCTCTTTCGCCTGCCCTTCTACTCCTGCCCCCTCCCTCTCCATCCTTCATGCAAATCACCAAATTCCTCCCCCTCCTCCGCCACCAGATAAGAGCATCCTCTTTACTCCGACAAACAACACAAAAGAACACATTTTCGCATAGCGTACGAGCCATGGCCGACTACAAGCTCAAGTCCGTCTCTTCGCTGTCCCTCAAGCCGGGAGACAAGCAGGAGGTCGAAGTAGAGGGGATCGAGGGCGCAAAGGTCCTCCTCGTCAACGCTGGAGGCAGTATCCAGGCTGTTGGTCCCAAATGCACTCACTTTGGCGCACCACTCGTAAAGGGAGTCTTGACCACCTCTGGTCGCTTGACATGTCCCTGGCACGGAGGTATCTACCCTCTCTTCCCCCATCTTTGGCCCCATGACAACTCACTGACACACACATGCAGCCTGCTTCAATGCCAAAACTGGTGACGTCGAAGACGCCCCTGCTCTCGACGCCCTCCCCGTCTTCAAAGTCACCGAACGCGACGGCGCAGTCTACATTTCTGGAGAAGAGGCTGCCATCAAGGGCGGTCGCCGCAAGCCCAATTTCAAGTGCAATGCCGCTGGTGGTGCTGATCAGGACAAGGTCGTCATTGTTGGCGGAGGTTCCGGTGCTCTCGGAGCTGTAGAGGGACTGCGCAACGGCGGCTACGACGGTCCTCTGACCATCATCTCCTCTGAAGGATACTTCCCCATTGACCGCACAAAGCTGTCCAAGGCTCTCCTGACTGACGTCAACGCTCTGCAATGGCGCGACGAGGCTTGGTACAAGAGCGGCTCAGTCGACTGGGTCGCCGACGAGGTCACCGACGTTGACTTCTCTGACCGCAAGGTCACCACCAAGAAGGGCGACAGCATCCCCTACACCAAGCTAATCCTGGCCACTGGCGGTACGCCCAGAAACCTGCCACTCCAGGGCTTCAAGGTACTAGGCAACATCTTCACCCTCAGAACCGCCCACGACACGCAAAAGATTGTCAAGGCCATCGGTGACAAGGGTAAGAAGATTGTCATTGTCGGATCCTCCTTCATCGGTATGGAGGTTGCCAACGCCACCGCCAAGGAGAACACAGTCACCGTCATCGGTATGGAAAAGGTTCCTCTGGAGAGGGTTCTCGGAGAGAAGGTTGGCGCCGGCATTCAGAAGAGCCTGGAAAAGAATGGCGTCAAGTTCCACATGAACGCCGGTGTTGACAAGGCAGAGCCAGCAGCCACGGACGCTGCCAATGTCGGCGCGGTATACCTCAAGGATGGCACCAAACTCGAGGCCGACTTGGTCATTCTTGGTGTTGGTGTCGCCCCCGCCACGGAGTTCCTGAGAGAGAACAAGGTCATCAGATTGGAGGACGATGGCTCCATCAAGACCAACGAGAATTTTGAGATTGTTGGCCTCAAGGACGTGTACGCCATTGGTGATATTGCGACATACCCCTACCACGGTCCTGGAGGCGATGGCCGGTACACTCGCATTGAGCACTGGAATGTCGCTCAGAACGCTGGTCGCTCCGTTGCAAACAACATCATCAACTCAGCCGTTAAGACGCCGCACTTCATCCCCGTCTTCTGGTCTGCGCTGGGCTCACAGTTGAGATACTGTGGTAACACCGTCGGCGGGTGGGACGATGTTGTGATTCAGGGCAACGTAGAAGAGTCAGCATTTGTCGCGTACTACACCAATGGCGAGACTGTCGTGGCCATGGCTTCCATGGGCAAGGATCCTGCCATGGTGCAGTCGGCAGAGTTGATGTCGCTCGGAAAGATGCCTTCGAAATCAGAGTTGGCCAAGGGTCTCGACATAAACACCATCGGTCCGTTGGAGGCATGATTTTGTAAACATGTTTGTGCGTGTTCAGGTGTACACAAGAAATGATGCAGGACGTAATTCATGGCGTAATTGGGTAGGCCATGCAACGAGCAAACAATACAATGAATTCAATTAATAAGGGGTGCATATGATGTTTCCACAAAGATGATTGCCGTGATCTCGGAATATGAAAGCCCGTAAAAACTTAAGCGGTCCCGACTACTTGGTGGTTTTCGTGTGGATGGTGAAGACTAGTGACGGACACTCGGGACCGAGCGCTACTTTGGTACCCGAGATGACCGGTGTGGGGCGGTGGCTACGTATCCGGCCACGCCAGGACCACCGGGGCCGGGCAAGTGCGGAGCTTGCAAACCACCGCCGTCGACGCCGTCGACGCCGTCGATGTCGTCACAACTACGGGATTGCAAATGTATAAAGACCTCATTCATTCATCTGCGACATATTCGGAAGGACGTGCGAACCACACTACACTTTTCATCCAATCTAACCTTCAGTCCTAAGACTTACTTTTTTTTCTTCTTGACTCCTTTGTTGACTTACACGTCTCGTCACATCAAGCGTACCAACCAACCAACCAACCACCAACACCAAACTCGCACATAATGACGACGCAAAACCAAACGCCCGTAATAATCATAGGCGGCAGCCTGGTAGGCCTCGCCAGCGCGCTCTTCCTCTCCGCCCGCGACGTCCCCGTCATCCTATTCGAGCGCCACACCTCTAGCTCTCCGCACCCACGCGCCATCGGATATACCTCGCGCACGCTGGAACTCCTGCAGACTGTTGGCATCTCTCCCGATCAGTTAAAAGTTGGGTCCGGTCCGCCGGGGGGAAAGCCTCGTCGGGTGAAGGTGAAGAGTCTGGCGGGGGAGTGGGCTGATGAGCAGCTCTGGAATAATAATGCCAAGATGGAGAACGGTGGTCCAAAGGGCGAGAATGGGTCCAAGAAGCCTGGTTCTGGTCCCGCTGGCCCTCCACCGCAGAAAGGTGGTAAAGTTTACGCTCCTGTCATGGGCACGGCGATAGCCCAGGACAGGCTTGAACCCATCCTCCGCAAACGCGCCGTCGAGTTGGGCGCGGATCTCAGACTCGGGTGGAAGATGACCTCCTGGAGCCAATCCACGGACGGCGTACGCATCACGGCTATCCACAGAGAATCAGGGGAGGAAGTCACCGTCGAGGGATCGTACATCGTCGCCTGCGACGGCGCGAAAAGCGTCTTTCGCGAGGGTCTGGGGATCGGGACGACGGGCGTGGGCCATTTACGGAGTTTATGCAGCGTCATGTTCCGCTGTGCGCCGATTGAGAGGTTTTTGGAGCGGGGGTTCGTGCAGTTCTCGATTGAGGGGCGCGAGGACGGGTTTGAGGCGTTTTTGGTGAGTTATCACGATGGGAGGTGGGCGTTGATGTGGAATGCTGCCGAGGAGACTGTCACCGCCACGAACGACGGTGACGATACAATCAATGTCAGCAACGGCAACAGCGGCAAAATGGACGCCCGCGCACAAAAGGACCTCATCCGCAAAGCCCTCGGTCTCGGCGAGGACGCGACCCGGGACGGGGATATCGAGCTCGTGACGATTGGGTTCTGGGAGATGAGCGCGCGGATCGCGGAGAGGTTTTCGGCGGGGAGGGTGTTTCTTGCGGGGGACGCGGCGCATACGTTGCCGCCTAACCGTGGCGGGTACGGCGCCAACACGGGGTTCGCGGACGCGCATAATTTGGCGTGGAAGATTGCTGCTGTGAGGGGGGGCGTGGCGGACGAGGGGATTTTGGGGACGTATGATGAGGAGAGGAGGCCTGTTGCGCTGGTTAGGCATGATCAGCTCTTTGCGAGGGATGATTATAAGGCGTATGTTCGGGGTAAGGATGGGGAGGGAGGGGAGGGGAAGGGGGTTGAGGTGATTGATGATGTTGCTATGGAGCTGGGGCAGATTTATCGGTCGAGGGGGGTGGATCTGGGGACGGGGGAGGCGTTGCCTGATGCGTTGAGGCCTGATGAGTGGAAGGGGCAGCCTGGGACGAGGGCGCCTCACTTGGTGATGAGGAGGAGGGATGGGAGGGAGATTTCGAGTTTGGAGTTGTTTGGGCGTGGGTGGGTTTTGCTCTCGAGGGATGGGGGATGGGAGACTGCTGCTGTTGGTGCTGGGTGTGAGTTTGTTCATATTGGGGAGGAGGTCGTGGAGGCTGATGAGAGGGACGGCGAGAGGTGTGAGGAAACGTTTGGGGTTGGGAGGGAGGGGGCTGTGTTGGTGAGGCCTGATGGGTTTATTGCTTGGAGGGTTGGTGGAAGGGAGGATGATGGTGATGAGGTGTTTGCGGAGGCTTTTGAGCGGGTTTCGTTTGCGGTGCGGTGAGGGCTTAAAGGTTTGGAGCGGCTTGAGGAAGAAGGCGGTTCACAGTTCAAGGATTGAAGAGGTTGAGGAGGACGGTTTGATACAGAGGCTTTGCAATATAATTATAAATGACTTGATATACTCATTGGTTGTAACCGGCATAAAACATGGAATCGCTCCTTCACTGTAAGCATTGGATTTGATATCCACCCCGCAAAGTAAGCTCCTTCAATCGTTACATAGATTATATTATCTATGCTTGATCCGAGGAACAGACACAAATCGGATCGCCCGAGGCCACACTTCCGATGTATACAACTTCAACAGCTGCGAAGGCTGCCGTTGCCGCGAAGACTTCCTTCCGCCTTTTTGGCTCCCGTCATCATGGCAAAAGCCACGGAAAAGATAAAAGCGAAGACAATGACAAGTCCAATACGGTGTATCATGTTCTGCACAAAGTACAGGACAAGAATTGCGACCGTGGGAAATGCAGCCGATAGGGCACCCACAACAATATCGCCGGCTCTTTGAACCTTTCTTCCGTCTTAATGCCGGATCCCGTCCAGCTCCAACTTTGTTTCCGTCCTAAAACATTGTCAGCTCTAGCTATCACAGTTCCCATGACCGGTCTAAGATACCTTGCTACGATGCCCTACAGTAGAGTGATAGAAGCTCAGGGCTTTATCGTCGATGAACCTGCCGAGTCTGTCTGACCCTGTCGACGGTCCTCCAACCGTGAGCAAGTCTCCTCAATGCTCCTCGTCCCACACAGTGCCTTCGATCCCGGCCTGGCTCAGAAACCTGTCTCCCTGGCCCACATTTTCTCTTCCCAGCCAGAGCCTAAGACTTTTGATATCAATATCAAGGGGCGGAGATGCCTGGTGCAAGAATGTGATGTTCTGCAAAGCTTGGTCTCAAATCCAAGCTCCAAGATTAGCAACATGAAAGGTCGAGTAGTAGAAATTTGCCGCACATACTATAATCATTGAGCGTTCGCCCGATCTTCTCTAGCAGTTCCAGCTGTTCTGAATCTCCGTCTAAAGCGTTCTCTCTCTCATAGAGCGGAAACCGACTCCGTATGAGCTCCGTTCTGGGTCACCCGACTCTTGGTCTTCTTGCTGGATCTCTTCGAGTTCTTGCTCCATGGATTGAAGTTCAGCTTGAAGTCGGGGTAGGGTCATTGTGTTCAGCTGCTCAAATTTGCGAAATATGGCATTCTCATGAGAACTAGCGAGGAACTTCGCAAGCCTTCCGTATCCGACGCCCGGCAAATTGACTGAGTTTCCATTGTCCACTCCTGAACTACGTACGTCTGTATCGTATGCGGGAGTGTCCATCATCTTGCTTTGAGGAGGGAGTGTGCGTGTGACTCGAGTAGATCAGGTCTTGGGATGAGCCACAGAGAACTTTAGCAAGCCCACATAATCCAGGACAAGGCCTTGCGGGATAGACTGACGGTAGGCTTCGAATCTGACCCGACCCCGCATTTAAGTGATATCCAGATGCATTTCATCCTGCATGTATGCCCAATCATGTTAAACAAATTTACAGCTTTGCGGTTCGAGGATCACGTGGTAATCGACCCAATCACTCCTCCATGCGGGGTTCGCGATCATCTTCGAGATGACAACTTTCCTCACAGTCAATGAGTTCTACAATAGCCCAGATTTGGGCCTGAGACTCGTGTTACGCTGCTCACCTATTAATTACAATCTCTCCTAGGCATTATTACTACGTTATCTCCATCAAGATGGAAGATTTTGGCGTAGTGGCCAGTCTTGCTGCCTTCATTCAGCTCTCAGAAGTGGCGATGAAGACGGTCAAAGGCTTTGAAATAGGTGGAAAGAATTTGGAGTTCCTCGCGGCTTTGGATAGATTAATGTGCTCCGTAGGAATTATTCTTGATTTATACGTGGGGTCCGGCACTGAAAAGTCGACATTGGCAAGCGATAACGCTGGTCATATAACATCCAGGATCCGGTCACAGGTTACAGAAGCTGTTTGGGAGGTCGAACGTGTGACACACAAGCTCAAAGACGAATAATATCTTGCTGGCATGTTCAAATCGAAGGATAATGCTGAACGTCTGATGAGAATCGCAGACAAGATTGAATCCTCACTGCAACTGCTTAGCAATTTCGAGCATACGTGAGTGAGTTGGAATACATAACACGGTGAATATCAACTAACATAGCCTCGCAGGTTGACTTTGCGTCAGATCCAAGACCGTCTAAACACCGTCTTCGAGCTGTCCGGTCAGACAGCGGTGGGGAGTAAGGCAGCGTGGGATACCATACAATTGATAGAGAAGAGGATCAAATTCGGTGCGAATGAGGAAGAAGAACTTGCGAAGGCAACTAACTGAAAAGATGGGATGAGATGAACCCCAACTCGTCAAGCGAAGAGAGGGCGAAAAACATAGAGACTATACGGGATGTGCTTAAGATCACATTTGGAAGCCCGCGAGAATTCAGGAAGGACCCCATGTCACTGCCCTTCGTCATTCCTGTCTCGGGTGCGGAAGATGTCCAGGTTCGTGTCAAATTGGGCACGGGAAGCCGGCCGAATTGGATCAGTTCCGAGGTGTGAAGAAAAGCCGGTATATCTTACGAGGCCGCTGAGGACCTGGGTAATTTCACCGGGGCAGGTGGAGAGTCCCGCCCATTCAAGCCACTCGGGAAGGCTTCAATTACATGGTTCTCAACGAATCAAGCCCTCAGCAAAACTGACGACTTCTTGGTCCACGACCCGAGCCAAATACCTTGCGATGTCATTCTTGGTCAGACGTGGATTTTCAATGATCTGACACGCCACCAAATCTCGGAGCCTGTCCTTCTAATCAGACAGTTGCTTACAAGAGGTATGTCCCTGACTCTTAATCCGAAAGAGAAAATTGCTGATCGATGAAATGATACTGTACGTACAGAGCAGATCCAGGAAGTAGAAACACAGGCCAAGAAAGATGGCGCTAGCAATACTAAAGTGATCAAACTTCATTCGGAGGTGGGAAAAGTAAGACGGGAAGAGAAGAGGCGCATCAAAGTAGCTAGTAGAGCGGCTTCCAGGGCACTAACGCCCATGTATGGGGCGTCACCCTTGAGTTCTACAACCCCCGTTAGCGTTACACGTCGAGGAAGTATGACATCTACTTCTCAGTCACTCTTTTCGGATCATTCAAGTTTGGTACCACCGACAGCTACTCGGTCGACGGAGCTTGTGTCCTCATCGACTGAGGAAGCCCCCAGTACTTTCTCGCGGGCTTCGGGTTCAACGTGAGCCGTCGTGTTCTCAGTCAAAGTCAGATAACTGTTTAGAGGGACATTGGAACTTCGACTGTTTTGGAAGCCCAAATGGTCTATTACAGCAGAAATGGGCGAAACAAGATGGGTTTAGTGGCACACAAAATGAAAGTAACAGGTTGGGGAAAGTACCACGAGATGTGTTCTTTCTTGTACTCGGCAATAAACTTCATGGTCATGTGTCAATTCGCAAGCATTTCGTGATTCAAACATTTCGAGAATACGAATGATCACCTAGCTTCTTAACAGGTACGGTAAAAAACACCTTGAATATAGGTTTAAGTAGAAATAGAACATTTCTGACGCCTATCTGGACTCGCCATTTCTGATAAAGGTGGAAGATATCGAGGTCGACTCTGGAGCTTTAGCATCTAGTATCGTACTTAGATTATTGACGCGCCGTTTTCAGCACGCTGAAGGTCGGACCGCTATGTTTGAAGAGTGCTAAAGACAGCGGAAGGCAGCGGCAGTCGGAACGGGCCAGTGAAAGCTTGTCAACAATGAGACATTCCCTCAGCTTTCTGTCTCAGAGCTTCAGCTTTCAGCCACGCGAGCCGGGTAGCCAGATGCGTCGATTAAGCTTCATCAAGGATGCGGGGAAACATCAACTATGGCATCCAGCCAACGTATAGTCTGTAGTGAATTCGAATAGCACCTGTCATAGCTGGATCATGGGGGCATTTTGGATTCAGCGAGTTGAACGAAGATGGCCAAAACCATCTCTAGAGGTACAAGTAGCCTCGACATGGAGATTGAAGGCTCGCCTGTATAAGTAAATATCTATATAAGTATCAGACTCCTTTTACTATCAGAATTCCACTATTTAAATCTCTTCCTTACCTTTTTGCATCTAATTCTCCTGACACATCATCTATAAAGTCACAAAATGGGAGAAACCATCACAAGAAAGGAAACATCCGCACCCTTTCCGCAAAGGAGCTGGACGACCTCGTCAGGGCATTCCGCGGCATCCAACAGCTTCCCCCTGATGACCCCAACTCCTTCTTCATCATCGCACTCTAGAGCACGGCCTCCCTTCCATCTTCTTGCAAAAAACGTATAAGTACGAAGGTACTCTCGAGGAGTTTCCCAACCCACTGTTCTCGTACACATTCCAGGCCAGAATCACGGACCGGCTCCAGCCTATCCCGGATGCCAACTACACCAAGCCTGTAGGCTATGAGACCGTTCGCTACCCCTTCTCGGGTCTTGTGGGCACGAAGAAAGACAAGAACAAGACATGGGTACACAATAATTCGCTGCGGGAAAGAGGAGACGCGGCGACGAACCAAATGCTCAACGACAACATCACCACGTGGCTCAACAAGTCGTCCTTCCGGAACAGCGACGGCAAAAAGGTTCACGCCGGTGTCAAGGATAAGTTCGACCACTGTCTCGACGCCCCCAATTACACCGTCTTCTCCAACATGACTTCCGCCCAGCAATGGAACGACGACGGCCTTCAGGAGACTGGGTTCAAATCCGTCACACCTCTCGAGTCCCCCCACAACTTGATTCACTTGGCCGTCAGTGGTTTCGACATCCCCAAGCACAACTTTGACCAAATCGGTGACGCAAACGGCGACATGGGAGAGAACGACACGGCCGCCTTTGATCCAATCTTTTACTTTCCACCACTGCTTCATAGACCTCATATTCTGGCGCTGGCAGAAGAAACACAATAAGGAGCACTCGCTCGAGATCATCCAGGGCTACCCCGGCACCAACTCCGTCGACAACCAGGGCCCGACGCCCCGGCGTGGCTGGCGGCACCTGGCTCACCCTCGACAGCCCGCTCGACCCGTTCAGGAACCCTCACGGCGCGGACAAGGCAATGACGTCCAGGGATGTGGTCAACATTGCCGAGTTGGGCTACGCCTACGACTTTCCTGACCCGCCGGCGCGGGTCGGCGAGCCTCATGGTCCGAGTCCCGTGTTGACCGTCAGCGGTATCAACCGCGCCGCCATCGCCATTGGAGGGTCCTTTGTCGTTTCCGCCTGGGCCACGTTGAAGAGCGGAGAAAAGGTGCTGGTTGGGACGGAGGCTGTGTTGAGTCGATGGCACGTATCTGGGTGCAAGAATTGCCAGAACCATTTGGAGGTTAGAACGCATATACCGGTTGAGGGCTGGACGAAGAAGGATACGGACAAGATGGAGTTTGAGATTGGGCTGCATACTCGGAACTTGAGCGGTGTTCCCAGGGATGGGCCGGGCGAAGGGATCCAGAAGCCGAGATTCGGCCTTGAGACTGATCATTTGTAGTTGCTCTTTGTTAGGATTGGTTAAAAGCTTCCTCTCGAGACTTGTTCAATTCATTCTGCATCCCGTTTGATACAAACATGATGGCTTGGAAATTTAGCCCTATCTCTGTAGTAATTATCAAAAAGTGGCCTTGTGATGTGACTTCCTGCATATTGGCAATAAAGGCAAAGAGCAATGACACATGTCCAAAGTTCCTCCTGTGGAGGAACGACCCATTAAGGGCCCATACAAGAAAGATGCCAAGATTGTAATGTTGAATCACTCGTTACGAAGCATGTAAATAGATACTCAAATCCAGACCGGCTTACCCGCTGTATCTTGCATTGCCTTGTGCTTGTGCCTAGCAGGCTGCCTCTGAGGCCTTTATGAATCGCAAAGCCTGCTCACGAAACAATTCCACAAGCAGTCATTGAGTTGGATCCACTGGTGAGACTTGGCGGGAAATGAGTACTTCATCCTGGTAAAGTCAACAACTTGATGCTGATAACTTGCCGAGCACTAGGGTGCTTGTTACGAGTGACCACCACAGAATTGATTGTCTACAGAAGCCTACTGCTAGCTTCGACAACAGATATTGGTGTTCGGTACGAGATTTCGAATTCGATTTGCTGGAAATCTCAAAATGCTGTCGTTGACTAATGTATACATGACTTTTGTACATGGCGACCAACATACATCATTATGTTATTACAACATTACTCCCACCGAGATATGCCCCTCACTCGCCATTCCCATACCCCTGAATGGCATCAAAGAACTGCGCAGACCACGCCATCGAGTCCACAATCTCCGCCGGCCACTGACCGGGCGCCAGCGGAGCGACACCCATACCGAGCATGCCGATATCCTGCGCGGTAGCAGAGTCCGGCATCCCGCTCAACGCGCCCATATCCACCGGCGACAGCATCGCCTGCTGCGCCTGGTGTTGCGCCTGCAAGGAGCTGTTTGACACATGATTATGCTGATGATGTTGCTGCTGCTGCTGCTGTTGTTGCTGCAGCGGCATCTCAGCGAACACCGCCGGCCGGGGCGGGTTCTTGCTCTTCCAGTCGACGCCGCACTCTTTAAGCCCCTTCAACATGTCCCGCGCGCTCTTGGCGCTCGACGAGTTGCAGCTCAGCGCCTCAAACATCTTGAGACACGTCTCCGCGTCGTCCGACAGGCCCTCGGTGTCGAATACGGCCTCGTCCTCCGCCATGGGCTGTGTAAACGTACTCGAAATCAGCAAGATGGAGCTCGCGCACAGGAGACACGAAATCATCTGCCACCAGGGGAAGTCGTGGACCAGGTCCTTTTCGCTCGAGACGCCGTGCAGCAGCCGCGCCGTCTCCCGCGCCTCGGCGACGCAAGTCTTTTCTGATATGCTAACGAGGTTCCAGTCTACCTGGGAGAGTGTGGAAGAGGTGTCGTCGAGGCCGCGGAGGAGGGGGTAGCATAGGTATGGCCGGTGGAGAAGGGCCCGGAGGTGGTGGAATTTAACTGCGAGTATGTTCCGCTGGTGTTTGTCAGCTCTGCGTTTGTGTTCACACATGATTACTCAAGACGAAAGCCTAGTTCGCATCCTAGGAAACATACCTGTCTCTTGAACGCAAAGTTCTGGTCAAAAGCGTGCCCCAGATCAAATCGCAACCGTCGCGGGAGCCTCGACTTCCAGTCCACAAGCTGGCGATCAAGTTCCCTCGTCCTGAGGGCACCATCAGAGGTAAGCTGCGAGTGCTTCGGCCCAAAGACATCCCGCAGCGCGCGGCCCAGAATCTGCGAGAAGCCGATGACGGCGAGGAAGTAGTCCCCGCCTGACGTCTCCTCGACCGGCGGCTCCATGTGGCTTGCCTCCCAGTCAATCTCCGAGTCGGCGCGCCGTGAAGGGAGCGGTACGTTGAAGTCGTCCTCGTGTACGGCCGCAGGACGGCCTAGCTGGAGGGAGAGGAGACGGTCCAGGACGTAGATGGAGTACCAAACCCGGCGACGCGTCTCGGTTTCCACCGTGTGTCGGGGGTTGTTCTTGTCCTTTTCGACGTGTAGGCCGATACCTTGGGCGATCCGGACGGCTTGGCCCAGGGTCATCCAGCAGCTGTGAGTGTCAGAAGTGTGCTTTGAGACATGCTGGGGCATTGTTAACGAACCTGTCTGTACGGGATACAGCGAGATAGTAGAAACATTGCGTCAGAAGTAGTGAGACCTGGTTAATTGACCGATCCGATGATGCCGTGGACGCGGCGAGGGCCAGGGCGCGCTGGAAGTAGACGCCGTGGAAATGGCGGGTATCCGAGTTCTTCTCCAGAAAAGACGTATAATATGAACCAATGGCGCAGATGACATCTGTGGGTCACGTTAGTCTGTCTCATTCTATAACCCCAAGACTTGCAGGAAGCTGATGATAAGCCGTGCTCGGGTTCACACTTACAATAAAGAGCAGACTCCGTGCCCCCCAGACGATCACCGCCGTTGGGCGCGCCCCCTATCCTGTCGCACAGCTTCGAAAAGGTAGACTGCGGTATGAAAGGGTACGCGAGGTGAATGGTCGCAAAGTACACGCCGGTGAACTTGCGCTCCTTTTCGGGACCGGGCAGCTCCACCAGCCTCCCTCCCGCGGCTGCGCCGGCAAGCAGCGCATCGCCGTCCTGTTCGTAGCTGTCAAAGTCGTGGTCTGCCCCGCCGCCGGGAGCGTCTTTGGTCTGCAGGATGCGCTTGATCACGTTGAAGAAGTGGACGTCGCTGACCTCGCCCAAGTACCTCTGGCTAGGCTTGAGCGAGGGTGTCGGCGAAGGTTGGTAGTCGTGGTGGTTTTGCTGTCCGCGGTCTACGTCCGGCGAGTAAGCCGGTGTCTCTGCCGACGTCGCCTTATTAATGGCCTGGTCAACTTGCGACTTGATGGCGTTGAGTTGCGCCTGAGCGTCTTGCTGCTGTTGCGCCGAGGGTAGCTGCGCGATGAGGCTCTGCGCCAGAGCCTCATACTGATCTACGGCAGTCCGGAGGCCGACATACGTGTGAGCGCCGGAGCCAGGGCCGGCCGGGGTGCCCTCTGTGCCGGCATCTCCGTTCCCGGTGGCCTTTTCCCGTCGACGACGCGGTCTTCCTACGGAGTAGACGCATTCATAGCCGTACCCGACGCATCTACCACACTTTGGCTGTTTTCCGTCACACTATCGATATGTATGAGTAAGCTGTAATAAACAAGTAGGTCTTATTGCAGTGTGTAAAGAAAGGGTATAAGGGACTTGGATTGTCTAATCTCACTTTGGATTTCATGGATCGGCAGGTCTGGCAGGCCTTTGCGACCCGCTTACGCTTGTATACGGGTTCATCGTCGGCGGTATCTGACATTCTCTTGCAGAGGCGCGCGAAAGCCGACTTTCCCGAGCAAAATAGCTGCAATGGTGTTTTCCCTTTCGAATGGGCGCAGTTAAGAAATACAAGGGGGGTGAGAAGAGTGTATTGTACAAGAGCAGTGGGCAGAATGACGTTGGGTGATGGAGCCGGCGATGCCGAGGCTTCCGGTATTTCCGGCGGGTGTCAGTCGCTTTTACTTTGTTACCTCGACCGCATCCTCGCTAGGCCCAAGCCAAGCCAAACTCACCACTCACCTCGCCCGTGCCAAGAAGAAACAACGCCCGGCCAAGACGTGTAAAGGTTGCGTCGAGGTAGTCAATGAGGGACCAGTTTCATCCGGCTTGTCTGTGCCTGGCTTGTCTGCGACTTTGACGATGAGTATTAGATTACACGCAGGTCCATTACCATATGCCATGAAGTAATCATGGCACTCCTCTAGCTGATGCATTTATCCCAGGGATGTCTTTTGCTGACTGTGCTTACAGCTTTGCCAACGCAGAAACATTGTATAGCGTGAGGCGTGTTTAGCGGGCAACCAATGCGGTGCTTAACTAGATAGCTCAAGATGATATCCGATGAAGGATTTGTCACTCGTAGGTCTAGACATGCACCTTACGTACTTACCCAAATACTACTCACCTTTAACCCTTGCATATTTGTGAGAACTTTGATAGATCTCATATTCAACCGTATGCTTCTTCGGCTCTGATTCAGTAACCTTGCATGTCTTTTTAGCATCGGCTGCTATCCCGCACGACTGGCACACGAACTTGGACGGTGCAGCCCATTCTTACATACCCACATCACTCTTCCCTGCCAGGCTCGATTCTCTCCTGATTGGTTGGGACTGGTATCCATAGTATACACTCTGAGGCAAGGAACAGAACATACCTGAGTAAGGATAGGTGGCACATCATGGGAAACTATCTGACTTACAAGTGACAACCCATGCTTCACCTTGGTATCTTCGGATCCGCCGACGTCTTATTCCTCAACCCCCTTGACCTGTTCTATACGATGTATAACATCACTTCCATCCGGACTCGTCTCAATCACCATCGCCGATAACTCTTTGCCATACGCACAGCCAGAATCCAACCCAAAGGCATACCTAGTCCACGGTCCTTGGACCCCTTTCGCCTTGAGCGATTCCGGTACTTGCACGTCTGGTTCCACCTGCAGCCCTTCCTTGGCGTCGTGACCGTACACAGCAACTGAGCGATCCTCTGGTTCCTCAATCATATTCTGCGCCTCGTTCCAAGCTTCTCTCCAGCGCTTTCCGTCCTTGAGTTCAATGGGGATGGTCCCTCCCTCTTGATTTGTCGCAATCTTTGAAACCTCGTTACCATCCCATAGACTCAAGACTCGTGCTAGTTCGCCATCGAGTCTCTCATCCTTTGTGACTTGGAATGCCGCACGTCGACACAAGCGCGTCTTAATCCTCTTCGCAAGAGCCACTACAATATTCTCCGGGTGAGCGCCGTCGGTCGGGTACACCAGGCTGCGCATGTTCATCACAGCCCAAGGATCCTGCTCGTCCATCGGCAGCAACGGTACCAGACCACCATGTGCAACCACCACGCTCCCAGAGTTCCAAGGAGGACTCTTGGCGCCTTTGAACGGTCCGATTTGCAAGATGAGAGGCAGCGACGCGAGCCAGGATACCTGCTCCCCAGAAAGCTGCGTCGCCGTAACGTAGTCGCTCGACACGGCGTACGGGATGTCCGCTGGCAACTTCTCCTTGCCGTCTTCAAAAGACATCTTCCCGTCGTCGCCCGTAGGCCCAGTAACCCTGCCGCGCTCGATAAACCCACGCGCCGCCAGCACGCGGTCTTCATTGTTGCCCCTGACGCAGCTCGCGCCGAGGCCCATGGCGAGCTGCACCACGCCGGCGCTGTCGGGGCCCTTGTTGACTAGGTCGCCGGTGAAGATGAGGTGGTCTCCCGCATCCTTATCGAAGTTGACCTTGTGCAGGAGCCTTTCGAGCTGTGATACTCGTCCGTGAACGTCGCCCACAATGATTAGCCTTCTGCGGGAAGCGCCGCTTTCTACTGAAGGCACATGTTTCGGATCCAAGGTTTGGACAGTCTGCTGGAAATCATAGTGGGATTTGTCATGGCCTGGTTTGAGAGTGTTCTCGTCTGGATTCATCATCGTCGCGAAGTGTTGCGTGCGATGAGAATAGACATTGTCTTTGATGTGCGGGGAATAAAGATGGGCGGACCTGATGGTGACGAATCAGAAGAGGAAGCATCAACAAAAAAGGAACGCCAAACGCTGCATAAGTGTAAAGTAGCCTCCTTTCACCTTGACCGATTTCTGTTTTCTAGTTATAAGGCGTCTCTACTGGAAATACTCAGCCGCCATCGTCAAGGAACTTCCCACAATCAGACTCAAGAGATGGTTGTGTTCTTCACTTTGCTGCATTCTCGAACCTTGATGGCAGGATGATAGATGGCATTTACCGCAACTTGTTTGGTCGTACATGTGATGATGTCAGCTAGCAAATTGGCAATGAAATAATAGCATTTGTACCGGTTGGCAGCCTGCAATTGTAATTCCTTGTTGAACCAAGAACCCTCCCAGCGAGTTATCGTGTCTTCCGATGGAGGTGTAAATAGACCAGGAGGAAGACTCGGCCGTGATTTTTCCGCATCTACCCTGAAACTTACAAACTGTACTCGATAATCTGGAGCCAAAAGTATCTCTATGTATGCGAGGTTTGAGGCTAAAGATGTTGAAGGTGAAGTTGATGTATTGAAATGAGGTAAAGGAAGGTGAGGCAAGGTGAGTTAAGGTGAGGTAAGGTGAAGGGTTCACCTTGTCAAGGTACGGAGTACATATACGTACCCAGGTGGACTGCCGGGAGCTTCGACCCCCTGACGGCCCAGGCGGCGGGGCAATCAGCCGCGAGCAATGACGAGCCAGCGCCGCCTGCACCCAAATCACCCCGCAACCGAACCCCCAAAAATCAATCCCAAATCTCAATCTCAGCCCCCGAAAGTAAACAAACTCTCCGTCGTCGTCCTCCTCCTCCCCGGTAACGCCGCCTCCCGGATCCAACATCACCTCCGTCCGACGTCTCGACACCGATATCGATATCCGACACCACCGATCGACATCGCCAATTGATACCCCGAGATCTATCACGATGGCCCCCGACGCCAAACCCGCCAAAGCCAGCAAGGCTAGCAAGGCCGACAAGTCAGACAAGGAGGACAAGTCCAAGGTGCACAAGCTCGCTCTCAAGGGAAGCGCAAAGCTCGTGGCAGAATTCGTCAGTCTCTCTTTCCGTACTCTCTGGTTGTTATTGTCAGTTTGACCGATGCCCCGAGCTAACTCCTTACCTAACAGTTCCAATACTCGATACACACCATCCTGTACGAAACCTCGTCCCGTCCCCTCGACATGCGCCGACTCGAATACTGACCTATCCTTCCAATAGCTTCCAACGAGGTGTCTACCCAGCAGAAGACTTCTCAGCGTACGTTCATCATTGGATTCCTTCCCCTTCATGCGACAGACAAAGACTGACCACGCCTTCCGCAGCGTCAAGAAATATGGTCTCAACATGCTAGGTTCGACTTCCTCACATCCCATCCCGCCGACCCCATCCCGCCGATAAACCATCTCGTCATTTCCCCCATCTCCCCATCATCCACACCTCCAGCAAAGACCCCCCAGCAAGCTAACACCACCCTCTCCCTCCAGTCTCCTCCGACGACCAAGTCCGAGCCTACATCAAAAAGATAATGTCCCAACTAGACCGCTGGATGCTCCGCGGCAAAATCTCCAAGCTCGTCATCGTAATCACAGACAAGGACACGGGCGAACACGTAGAACGCTGGCAATTCGACGTCGAAATCTTTGGCCGCCCCTCCAAATCCAAATCCTCAAAGACGTCTTCTTCTTCGTCCTCCTCCAAGACCTCCTCCTCAAAACCAACAGACCAAGAAAACGCATCCCCCGCCACCGCAGAAGACGCCACCCCCGAAAAGACTGAACAAGAAATCCAATCCGAAATCGCTGCCATCTTCCGCCAAATCACCGCTTCCGTCACGTTCCTCCCCCAGCTCAACGGGGACTGCACGTTCAATGTCCTCGTCTATGCGGATGCGGACTCCGAGGTGCCTGTCGAGTGGGGCGACAGCGACGCCAAGGAGATTGTCAATGGCGAGCGCGTACAGCTGCGTGGATTTAGCACCAGCAACCACCGCGTTGATACCCTCGTCAGCTACCGCTTGGCGGAGTAGGGATTTGGGGGGTGGGGGGGTTCGTTGTGGGCGGCTGGCTTGATGTAGGATTTGTGGTTTTGTTTTGTTTGGTGGACGAGAAAAGGTCATGAAAAGTTCATGGATCAAGTGGGAGAACACACCACGGAAATCTGTGTGTATGTAATATGATGTTTGTGCGGCGTCGGGGCGTTTTTGTGGCATCCTCGGTCATCTGTGGTAAGATGACACTGGATTTTCTTGCCATGGAAGAAAGACACAAAAAACTGGCAGATCTCAATCTCTGGAAAAGTTCATCTTCTCAATGGACGGCTAAATAACTAGCCTCAAGTCTGCCTTTTTCTAAAACTCTCACTATGCATTGTCTCGTCTCTCATCCCCACAGTAAACCGCCGCTCGCCCATGCTGTAATGCAATCATCCCCATCCCATCAGATGCATCCGTGGCCCTTTCCCACCGCCGCCGTCATGAAGTTGCGCAGGACCGATTGAACCTGGCTTGATTTTTTCGTCGTCACACCTGCCCCGAAACCGAAACGCCTTTCTTGTTACGCCCAATTTCCACCTAAACACGCTTGAAGAAGTAGACGTAGGCAAACTTTCTCATCTCCTCAATCTCGCCTGCCTCGACAACCTTTTCGTCGTTGAAGAGAACCCAAGTAGGTTGGCTGTTGACTTCCTTGCGAACAAAGGCGACGTAGTGACTGTGAAACTGTTAGCAAACTCTGAAAGTCAGTCTCAAGGTGGCCATCATCAACATACCCAGCATGGATGCTTGTGCCCTTGTGGCAGGCAATAGACTGGAGCTGGTACTTTGCAGGGGTGGCGGCGCTGCCGGCGTCCGTCTTGGGAGCAGCGGGATCGGCTCCGGCGGCTGGGGCTTCGTCTTCAAAGATGCCCTGGTCCTCGGGATGGCTAAAGAGCCACTCGACAGCTCGCTCCACGTCACCACTAGTCTCGCGCAGAGCCTTCTTCGCTTGGGGTACTGAGAAGCCCATGGCGCCGAGCATCTCAATCTTTTCCGGATCCGCTGATGCTCCCCCAGCTCCCGCACCGCCGCCACCGCTCAAAACGAGCGGGTCATCAATATCGGGGTCCTCCATGTGACCAAACAGCCATTCCATGGCAGCGTTGGCGTCGGAGTTGCCGGTGGCATGCAATGCCCGTTCGCAGCGGTTGCGTCCGAAGCCCATAGCCTCCAGCTGGCTGACAGCCTCCGGGTTGGCAACGAAAGCCGGAGCGCTGGCCTCGGGCTCATCGGGAAGAGTCTCTTCGGAGGCCTGCAGGCCCTTGGAAAGGTAGTCGTCGAGGAGGAAGGGCTCATCGGGGACAATCACGGGAACGTCAAGCTTGACAGGGACCCAGTTGATGACTGCCATCTTGCGGGCATTGACGACCAGGTTCTCGGGAAGAGTCTTGAACAAGGAGCGCTTTGTGTAGCCATCCTTGCTGCCACATGCGGAGCAAGTCAGCTCGACGACCTCCTCGGCCGTGAAGTTGTCGAGACACTGCTTGAGAGTCACGGCCTTGTAGGCGTCCGCCTTGGTCTCCTCGCCCTCGACAGTGGGCTCCTTCTCCAGAGGAACGTCGATGAAGATGTTGTCCTGCTCGTTAGTCGAATACCGCACCTTCTTGCATCCCAGGCACTGCAGCCGCTGCTCCAGAGTGAACCGGAACGGCTGGGTCGGGTCGCCGAGATCGGAGGGATGCTGAGACCGAGTGACAAGCTTGAAAATATGCTGCAGCAACTCGAAAGCATCCTGCTGCCGCATAGTCGAGAACTCTTCGTGACCTCTTCCAATCAGGTGCTTCAACATGGCCGGGGCCAATCCCTTTTGGTGCGAAATCTCGGGCGAGTGCTCAGATGCAGTCACGTCTGAGTCGGGCTTCGAGTACCGACCCGAGAGCAAGCCGTCTGCAACCTTGCGGAGCTGGGTCTCCAGGTCTGCCGCAGGCTCCTGAACATTGGGAAGGTCGCGGCTCGGCAAGTAGTAGCGATTCTTGAAAGCAGGGGTGTCAAAGAGACACTGGACAATGCTGGCGAGGTAGCAGCTGTTGCCAAGGTTCTTGAGGCCCGTCAATCCAGCACCAAAGAGAGGCTTAAGCTCCTTGCCATCTTCTGTGGTCATGCTAAAGTCCCAGCGCAGGTTCTGTTCAATCTGCATCTCGGTCAAGCTCTTTTCCGTCTTTTGTTGGTTCGCCAAGTTGATGCCCCAGTGTCCCAGGTGTTGGCCAAGATCGCCATCGATGCGCTCTTCATCGCACTTGTAGCAGTAGACGTCGGCCGTTCCCTCGGGGGTGATGGACCCCAGCTTGACAGCAACGCCGTGGCCGGACTGGTCCGAATGTGCAAGGGCGTGAGAGTTGCCGTCGACACCTCCCATTTGCTTCCGTCCACAGCCCAGGTTTCCACATTCCAAGCAGAGCCACAGGTTCTCGTGCAGATCACAGGCGGAGCAGTGTCCGAGATCACCAGACTGGATGGTTCGTGATTCGGTCTGTTGCATGAGCAGAATGTGCTCGCAGCTCGTAAGCTCCTGCTCCCACGCCTTGACCTCCTCTTTCCTCGAGAAGGTGTTGGCCTTGATGATGCCGTCCACAATGGGGGCAAGCTTGTCGCTTGTCTTGTCCAGCTCCTGGTTGCATTCGAGGCACTTGACAGTGGTTGTGGTATCGTATCGGTCGGCCTCGGTCTCGGCGGCGATGGCGAGCTTGGACATCTTCAAGGGTGGTTCATCTCGAACAACGACTTTGCGGGTGCGACGAATGTTGAGAACCAGCGGGTGGCTCCAGAGCTGTCGGTGGAGCTGGGCATGGTTGCGGTCACCAGCACAACCGCCGTTGAAGCACTGGAGGCAAACATCGACACCGGCAGGGTCGTCCTGGTTGGAGGAGTCAGCACAAAGCAGAAGCAAGCGGATCATGGGCGAGGCGCACGATGGAATCGAAGCATTGGGTGCAGTCTTCCCGGTAGACCGAGTTGTGAGGTGCAGGCGGCTGAAGCGCTGGGGAAGGTTCAGTCAGCGTCAAGATGTCGGACAGAGCTAAGGTGAGTAAGATAGACTGGGTAGTAATTACCTGCAGCTATGGACTCAAGATGCGGGCACGCCATGGTGGGAGTGATACAAGGAGGCTTCCAGGTCGAGGTTGTCGTCTCTGAGGTACCTTGTGTGGGGTTGGCCGCGAATCCGGAGGTGTAAGGAGTTGGGAAAAAGACGCGGAGGGTATGTTCGTTTTGAGTCTGAGTTGTGTTCAGCCTCGCAGTCGGTGTAAGAGACAAAACAGGCAGCCAACGGGAGGCGAAAGAGCTTAGCAACGAGGTGAAAGGCTGTGCTCGTGCTCAAGCTGTTTGTTGCAGGCGAAGATGGGAGAAAGTGGTGGTGGGTGGACTGAGTGCCCCGCGTTGGAGTTACAGGGACCTGGTGCCTGAACTTACTTTGGCAGCTTCTCTGGGCTTGTGTGACAGTGGTCGGTGGCATTAGCTCAGCTTTGGAGGGGGGGCACAGTGTGGCGTGCACCTCACATTTTGAGGATTACGTAGTGAAGTGGGGACGCTTCGAGCGATATGGTGGATAAGAGCATTTTTAGGGTTGTTTGCATGTCCGTGGCAAGAGGTCAATATAGATGCATATGCGGAGCCATTTTGAGTGGTCGAATGTACGTAAGCGATTTCCCCGGACTTAGGCTTCCATTGGAAGCGGACATGCACAAATGCGTCAGGACTCAAAGTTCAGCGAGCACCGAGGTGGCTTGCGTATCTAATCAGATTCAATCTCTTTCGCTGGCGACAACGGCGAATAACCATGACAAATTGTTCGCCGCCCCGTCAAGCCCCGTCAAGCCCCGTCAAGAAACCCCCATTTATCCCCACTTGGAGCACGCAGAGCTGTTGGATTGATGGATTCTCACTTTGCCAGCTGGTCACCTGCATCTGATAGCCAATTTGTATGGGTCCGATAAGGCAAGGTCAACGACGTGGACGATGGACGGCAGGACCAAAGTCGTGGGTGTACGGAGTACCTAGTCTGCTCTTGCTGTGCCGAGGAAACACGGCATCACCCCGACCAATTGGATATCTCTCTAACCACAAAGAGTGGATCAGATAACGGGCTGGTCTGCAGCTCTGACACTCTGACACTCTGAAAAAGGCACTAAAAAGGGAACCTTGGACCGGAGATGGAAGGAAATGCCCTCCAGCTTTGGCTGGAATTGAAGGCTGGGAACCCTCGGCGCTGTGGAGGCGGATGAAAAAATGTCTTCTCCGAGGCGCCGAGCCATCCTCTACTGCTGCGACTGCGTGCTGAAATACGAAGTAGGTTAGTAGGTGGTGGTGGTGGGTGGAAGGCAGTGGCCGACCACTGTCCATGACTTAATGCATGGTCATTGAACGCTCCCATTGGCCCGTCGGCTTCTGCTACCCCCGAGATCGTCATCGTTCTCCGTCACAAGTCCCGCAGGCCATGTCTAATAATTTCCATTTTCCATTTATCCTCCCAGCTCAGTCCTCGCCTCCCTCCAAATCTGTCCCCCTCAACACCTCGATCCTTTGCCAAACGCAAATTGTTATATCGACCACTTTTTGTCGCCATCGCCATCTCAACTCATCAACGATAACCTAAATCGACCCTCGCGACTACGTTCCTACCGATTTAAGCTGCCCAAGTTCGATATTCATCGACCTGCACCTCTCTGAAAACCCACTAGTCCGAAACTCGACCAAAATGTTCTCCAGATCTCTCCGCGTCGCCTCTCGCAGGGTCCTTGCGACCTCTGTCCGCCCTTCCACCCTGCCCGCCCGTCAGCTTGCACCTGCTGTCGCTGTCGGTGCGACGAGGGGATACCATGAGAAGGTCCTTGACCAGTATGCAACCCCGGATATCTCATTTGGAAGACACAGAGGGCTAACTTGAGGTGTACAGCTACTCCCGCCCCCGTAACGTCGGTTCCATGCCCAAGGGCGACCAGGACGTCGGCCAAGGTCTCGTTGGTGCGCCCGCTTGCGGCGATGTCATGAAGTAAGCCATCCTCGATTCATACCCTCGATCCCACAATATTATTGTTTGGAACGCTCGGGTTGGGGTAGCGTGCACTCGGGTCTCGATCACGAGATGCGCCGCCTCACTCCCCATTCTCTTGCGTCCTGACGCATATCATATGTTCCTCAGCGACACCGATAACCAGGCCCTTTCGCCATCAAGTTGCAAGCGCTGACAAATTCTCAAGGCTCAACATCCGTGTCGACCCCAAGACCAACGTCATCTCCGACGTCAAGTTCAAGACCTTCGGCTGCGGATCCGCCATCGCTTCCTCCAGCTACCTCACCGAGCTTGTCCGGGGCATGACGTGAGTGACCTTGCCCTCGACGTTTTGACCGCACTGATACTGACATACTGTTCAGCTTGGAGCAGGCCGGCCGCGTCAAGAACACCGAGATTGCCCAGGAGCTCAAGCTTCCCCCCGTCAAGGTACGTGAATGAGCGCCACTACTCTTGCAACATCACCCAGTGACTAACACAACGCAGCTCCACTGTAGCATGCTTGCCGAGGACGCCATCAAGGCCGCCATTTCCGACTACTACACCAAGAACCCCAACGCGAAGCCCACCAACCTGGCCGGCACCGAGGTCAAGGCCGAGTCCGCCGCCTCCGCCTCCGCATAAACAACACCACCGATACCTTTCTTTCGTCACACGTCACTGGAGTTCGGTTGGGGGGGAGTGAAGAGGGGACGTCCCCGGGTGAAGGCCTAGAGGGCGGCAGAGCAGAATTTGCCAACAAAACGAGATTTATCGTCGTCTTGTTCATCGACTTTTTTTTTCAACAAAATCCGGAGTTTGGGAAGGAAATTAGGGCTATCCTTTGTTTTTCGCAGGGCGTGTATGGGATGAGAGCTCCTCTACAGCGACCGCGCAGTCGCTACACGAAGTATCGACGCTGCCGCGAAACAGGCCTTTTTTTTTCATGTTTACCAGAAGGCTTTTTAAGGGCAGGGTTGGGTTGTACGTCAGTGTTGAGAATACCATTTAGTTAGTGGCCAGCTTATCAGCAACCCCGACAGAGACGAAAATGCCAGAGAACGACATTGTCCTGCCACTCATGCACCACTCAATGCTTCAATTCACGCTTTACAATGTTTTCGAGACCTGAACGGGGCATCGTGAGTGCCGACGGTGTGACTGAGATACCAGATTGCGCAGCTCTCAGAATGGGGGAGCGGGGCTGGGTGACTTCGGGATCACATCCGCAAGGATCCAACCCAGTTGCTATAATGCAGGCAACGTCGGTGGCCAACAAAGACACCTACAAGTCCTCGTCATTTACGATAAGAGGGGTTGCTCATGAGAGCAGGTCGTGGTTTCCCACTCTCGTGGCGACTGAGAAATGCTGAGTCACTCAGCCCCCGGAACCGGCTGACGGTATGTGAGCCGAAGAACGGCTTTAGACCCGACCTCATCGGGCTTCGGCATGTCCTCGGAAACTTCTCGTCGACAGGACCTCTGGAAGTCTAGGCTCCGGTAGCTCATGCAATGCACCATCTCCGCCCCGGCTGCCAACGAGCAATTGCATCGTTGGTCAAGCACCCGGCGACTTCATGGATGACTAATTGCGTCGCAAGCAACCGTGACGAAGCATAAGTCCACGAAATCCTTTGGAGTCATTGATGATTGAAAAAAGTAAGGAATGGCGGACTTTGGAATGATGAGGGCATCTGAAAAACTTGGCGGAGTGGGGATTGGATCGTGGAGATGGCACATTGGCGATGGCTTCATAAACAAGACGAGAGGGTCGCCTACAAGGAGCAATAGTGGTAGCCAAAGGTCACTTGGAAGCAATTCAAACATTATCATCCTAACCTCAATCCAAGATGCCTCTATTCCAGCCTCCAGTCACCCCCCTCCCCGACGACCTAACCCTCCACGGCCAGACAGCAATAGTAACAGGCGCAACATCAGGCATCGGCCTCGCCCTAGCCCGCCAACTCCTACGGCTCGGCGCCTCCCCCCTCATCCTCGCCGTCCGCGACGTATCCAAAGGCGAAGCAACAAGACAATCCCTCCTCTCCAACCCATCCCTCCGGTCTCTCCCCCAACCCCCCGTCGTGGAGGTACTGAAGCTCGACGCAGAAGACTACACCAGCGTCAAGACCTTCGCCGAAACCTTTGCGTCGAAGCACACGCGCCTCCACATCGCGATGCTCAACGCCGGCGTGCCGGGACTCCGACGCCGCGTGGCGGTGACGGGGCACGAGGCGGCCGTGCAGGTGAATTATCTCTCGAATGTGCTTCTTACGCTGGAGCTGCTGCCGCTTTTGGAGGCTACGGCGCGCGAGACGGGGAGGGTTGGGGAGGCTTGCGTGGACGGGGAGTCGGGCGATTGAAAAGACGAATTTGGCGGGGAAGGCGGGTGTGGGAGAGGGGGGATCGGTTCTCGGACACCTTGATGCTGAGGCGAAGTTTGACGGGATGGCGCGGTATGCGGATAGTAAGCTTCTTGGGTTCTTGTTTTTGCGGGAGTTGTCGAGGCATTATGGTGTTGGTGATGGCATTGGGAGCGAGGAAGGAGAGCGACGGCAGCAGCAGCAGCGGGTTATCGTCAACGCCTTTTGTCCCGGGATGGTGGACACGAATATGAGCAATGTTCTCCCCCAGCCTTTCCGCCTCATTGCTGACGCCGTGAAGGCTGTGAGGGCGAGGACGCCGGAGGTGGCTGGGTGGATTGGGATTCATGCTGTTTCTGTCGCGGGAGGGGAGACGCATGGGAAGATGTTGGGGGATAAGGAGATTTGGGAGTGAGTTTTTTCTTCTTCGGGATTGTTGTGCTCTGACTGACGGTGATGTGTAGGCCACAGGGGTTTGCTGTCTCGGACGACGGCTGGAGGTTGCAGAGGATGTTATGGGATGAGACTGTGGATGAGATGGGGAGGGTTACGAGCGTGCCTGGGTGGATGGGCAAGGTTGGGAGTTGACTGTACGATGGTTGAGGTGGCTGTCGTTATGAGTTATATCGTGAGCATGGAGAAGTGTGAGGGATAACAGGACGCCATCATCTTGGATGGATCAACAAAAGCTGCAATTCGTTAGACATCTTTGTATACTTCAATTCTTCGGATCCCCTATCGACGGTATCATTTCAGGACTCTCTGAGTGTTTCTAGCAAGAACTCCTCACTGACCAAAGTCGTGTTCTCAGTCTCTCGTGTTTCGGTATACAAGAACAATAATGTACACCTCCAGTTCAAACCATCATCCCCGACACCAACGATCATAGCTATTACACTATCAACGCGGGTGAACAGGCGGCGGTGCCGGCGGCAACCCGCCCTGAGACTCCGTCATGTAACTATGCGACCCCCCATCACTATCCTCCTCTGACGAATCCGAAGCGTCATTTACACCCGCGAAATGCAGGAAGAGGATCCGGACCAAGAAGCCAGCACTAACAAGCAGAGGCAAGACCTGCGCCACGTCCGCGAAGTTATTCACGTCGGGGATCTTATTCCAGACGACGGCCAGCTCGACGGCTGCTGTAAGTGTCGCGGCCACGGCAACGTTGCTCAGCGTCTTCATCTCCTTGATCGCCATGATGTGCATTCTCCTAGACACCAAACAGTATCAGTCCCAAACCTCTTCATCTTTGGCGCAAGGGTGGGCCACTCACTTGACTCTCCGCTTCCTCCGCCTCTCCCTCCAAAAGGGCACTTTCCAACCGACCTTGAGCAGGAGGACGAGCACACACACAAAGAGAATGACAAAGTACATGATGGCATTAAACGCCACAAACGCCTTGTTGTCCAAGCTCACGCGGCTGAAGAAGAACCCATACTGTTCCAAAGAACAATCATTCTCCGGCGCAAAAGAGCACCAATACCACACACCAAGCGACGCAATAGCCAGCAACAGCGTGAAGTTCAACCCCTTGTACGCCGGGCTCGGCGTCTCCCTGGACCACCGAAACGGGTCCCAGTATCGGCTGAAGCACGTCACCGTCTTCCAGAGGTACAGCGGGACGAGCGGGATATAGATGCCCATGGCGAGCAGGAGGACAATGTAGACGTCGGCCGGCTGGGCGCTGCTGGCCGCCGCCGTGACGGAGAGGTGTATGACGAGGCCGAGGAAGGCCGCGGCGGAGAAGAGGAGGCCGAGGAGGCGCATGTCGGGGAGGTCTGCCATGTCGAGGTACTCTACCACGATGGCGCCGAACCATTGGATGTAGAAGGCGACGCGGATGCCCAGGCCGTAGAGGCCGGGCTCGCCTTGCACCTGGCAGCTTGCCATGGCTGGATGTAGCTGATTGTTGCAAGGCGTGGAAGTAGGAAGGGGGGGGCGGGAGCGGGAAGATGGCCCTCGGTCGAGGCCGGTCGATGGATGCTGTCTCCTCATACCTTTTTATGTCTCTCTCTGTTCCTAATCCCACGTCTTGCCTACGTCCTCCCCCATGAGGAAAACGGTATTGCCAGCGTCGACATGCAACGTGGGCAGCTATCAAGAAAGGCAGCTACAAGGATCAACACCGCAGTCAGCTGTGTGTGACGGAGCACATCGCCAATGGCCGGACCCTGGACGGACTGCCTCTTGCAGGGTGATGTGCTCTCCCGTCCCCCGCAGTATGGTTGATACTCGACCGTCATACCCCCCATGTGGCACCACGATGAACCCCATTGGAAGGGGAACGGGATGTCGCAGGGTTAGACAACAGATCTGTACGTAGTCTCCTCGCTACGGTATCTGGCTGCAGAAATGCTTCGAAGAAAAAGAAGCAGCAGGATGCTTAGCTCCCGTTTTCTTTGCAGGGTTGGGCCGTCTTGCTGACGCCAAGCGTGAGTTATTGGTTGGTTGAGTCTGGCCGCGATATGTGCGGCCGGAACCCGACCTTTTGTGTGGCCCGCTGCGTGTGTATTCCCACGTGCCGTCTATCGACGTCGCGCCGTTGGGCCTTGCTTGCTTCTTCTCCTGGGATGCTCCCGACGTCGTAGGCTCTTGTATCCACTTTCAAGACTTCTTGAGGATAGCTGTATCCGTCAAATGTCCAAACTTTGTCTCATTCACGGCACTCACTTGAGTGAGAGATTGCGAGAGTGACGAAAGTACCTCATCTTGTTCAAATGAGTGTTGTAAGCTGACCGAGCCCAGCCGTCACTGTGTGTTCCTTAGCCAGGGGCATCATGCAGCCGTTCGCATTAGCACTTTGCCGCATGTGAAGGAGCATCTGAAGGAATGCTTTGCAGACGGAGTGGCTCAGGCAACAGCTTTTTCCGTCTTGAGCGAGAACGACAGCTGGCACTCGGGGTGCGCGGGCGTGAGGGGAAGCTGTCGAGTGAAGCGGACGTGTAAGGCGGGGGACGGTGGAGCCATCCTGGAGTGCAAAGGGCCGGAGTGGGTCCCTGGGCCTCCGATTCTGGGACCGGGTGGCCAGCGGAGACAAGTGGCCCAATTCGGCTTAGCGCAGGGTCTTTTTCTTATCTAATACCCGGCGTCTTATCGCGTTATCGCGCGGCCACGGGGGAGCACTGTTATCAGCCTATCGATAAACAAAATTCTTTTTTTTTCTTCTTTTTTTCTTTTTTCCTTCTTCCCGCCCTTTGACATTTGCGACTGACCGACCTCCCCCCCCCCCCCCCCCCCCCCCAACCAAAGAGTCTTTGCTTCTCACGGCAAATTTCCCTGCAAATCAATTGTTGCATCAATCTCCGCTACCACCACCGCAACAATGGCCGCCACGAAGCGTTCCCTCGCTGACACCGAGGCCGAGGCCAGTGTCACCAGCAAGAAGCAGAAGAAGGACCTCGCCGCGGGTGGCGATGTCGACAGCGACGAGGCGGCGGAGCTGAAGAAGCAGAGGAAGAAGGAAAAGAAGGAGAAGAAGGAGCGCAAGAAGGCCAAGGCTGCCAAGGAGGAGGTGGAGGAGGAGGCCCCGGCCGCTACTACCGAGTCCAAGGAGGAGACCGAGGAGGACAAGGCCGAGAGGAAGAGACTCAAGAAGGAGAAGAAGGAGAAGAAGAGGAAAGAGAAGGAGGCTAAGGAGGCCGAGAGCAACGGCGCACCCGCAGTTCCCGCCGCCGCCGTCGCCGTCACCGCTTCCACTCCCACCGCCGCGATCCTCGGTGGCTACGAGGAGGCCGCGGCCCTCAAGGCCCTGCCCCAATCGGACCTAGACGCCTTCCTGGCCGCCGAGAACATCACCGTCACCGACCCGATAACGAGCAACGCCGCCCTCCGCGCCATCCTCGAGTTCGCCTACCTCCCCAAGACCGACCTCGTCAAGAAGAACCCCTTTGCCGCCTACAAGAAGCCCACGCCGATCCAGTCCGCCTCGTGGCCCTACACCCTCGCCCGCCGGGACGTCATCGGCGTCGCCGAGACGGGCTCCGGAAAGACCATGGCCTTTGCCCTGCCGCTCGTCGAGGGCATCTCCAAGATCAAGAAGCGCTGTATCAAGGCCGTCGTCGTCTCCCCGACCCGCGAGCTGGCCATGCAGACCCAGGAGCAGATGGAGCACGTGTCCAGCCTGCTCGGCCTCAAGAGCATCTGCATCTACGGCGGCGCCTCCAAGGACGAGCAGCGCAACCTCCTCAACCGCGGCGCCGACGTCATCGTCGCCACGCCCGGCCGCCTCAAGGATTTCATGCAGGACGGCACCATCTCGCTCCAGCACGTCAAATTCGCCGTCCTCGACGAGGCGGACCGCATGCTGGACAAGGGCTTCGAGGAGGACATCAAGCTCATCCTCGGCGACATGCCGCCGCGCGAGCAGCGCCAGACGGTCATGTTCACGGCCACCTGGCCCGCGTCGGTGCGCAAGCTCGCCGAGTCCTTCATGGTCGACCCCGTCAAGATCACCATCGGCTCGAGCGGCAAGGAGACGGCCAACGGCGCCGTCGAGCTGCAGGCCAACACGCGCATCACGCAGCGCGTCGAGGTCGTCGACCCGCGCGCCAAGGAGCAGAGGCTGCTGCAGATCCTGAAGCAGTGGCAGACGGGCGCCAAGAAGGACGATCGTATCTTGGTGTTTTGCCTGTACAAGAAGGAGGCCACGCGCGTCGAGATCTTTTTGCAGCAGCGCGGCATCCGCGTCGGCGGTATCCACGGCGATCTGCGCCAGGAGCAGCGCACGAGGAGTTTGGAGGCTTTCAAGGCTGGTACCACGCCCGTGCTGGTCGCTACTGATGTTGCTGCTCGTGGTTTGGATATTCCCGAGGTCAAGCTGGTTGTCAACGTGACTGTGAGTCTTTTTTTCTTTCTCTGGACATCGGTATCGAGCACTCGAGCTAATTCATTGGCAGTTCCCCTTGACGATTGAGGATTACGTTCACAGAATTGGACGTACTGGCCGTGCTGGCAAGACTGGCGAGGCGATTACCCTGTTTACCGAGCACGACAAGGCGCACTCTGGATCGTGAGTTACGCTGTGTTCCGAAAAGAAAACGGAATCAGTTTAAAGATGGATGCTAACAAAGTGACTAGTTTGATCAACATTCTCAAGGGTGCCAAGCAAGAGGTTCCCGATGATCTCTTCAAGTTCGGCACCACCGTCAAGAAGAAGGCTCACAGCACCTACGGCGCCTTTTTCAAGGACGTTGACATGACGAAGAAGGCGACCAAGATTACGTTTGACTGATTTGTTACTAATTTCTTTACTTCTCGGGAGGATTTCTACGTGTTTTGTTTCCCACCCTGAGGTAGTTATGTCTATGCTGTCTTTGGCTTGCGTGCCGAGTTGTAACATTGCAGGAGAAATCTGCGTTCGGCAAAGAGTCTGAGGTCATGTTAGAAGGAGGGGAAAAGCACACACACACACACACACACACACACATACACGCACTAGGCCAGAGCGGCGCGAACGACGGGGGGGCGGGAAAAGCTCACATCAAAAGTACGACGGGAACGGCGGCTAGGCCGATGGCGATGAGGTCCTTGAACGGGGAAGTAGACACGCCCGCCGAGGCAACCCCGGCGACCCTCCTGATGAGGTGCGACGCCGATAGACAGACGATAGAGGTCACGGCGTTAGGCCGCAGCGAAAAGAGTTCAAACGGCGTTTCCAACCCTGCAAAGTACGACTTGGTGAAGGCGAGGCTCCACACGATGCGGCACAGCATGTTGATGCAGTTTGCGTAGACGAGACCCTGGGCGCCGAGGTCCATGACGCGCATGAAGAAGAAGGCGGCCGAGCCAAAGGCGACGGAGAAGGCACCCATCCAGGCGGATTGGCGGTGGACCTGGGCCTCGGAGGCGACGGAGGCGACAAAGGACTCGGATACGCCGTTGAGTGCGAGGAGGGGTAGGTAGTAGCAGTAGACGGCCAGGACGTCGCCTGCGCCCTCGGAGGCCCAGCGTTGGCCTGCGACGAGGGAGAGGAGCGGCGGCGCGGCGACGGGGCCGATACTCACAATGATGGAGGAGAGGAGGATGTAGAATTTGAGGAGGGTGTGAAGGTGCTGGCTTGCCGTGGTTGTTGCTGCCGTATCCTTGGTGGATGGTGACGATTTGGTCTTTGCGTCGTGAGAGGAGAGCAGACGGCTGAAGTAGCTGCGGCTGCTCTCTTCGATGGGCTGGAGGACGAGACGAGCCAAGAGACCTCCGTAGTTGCTGGCCAGCGCGTAGACGCCCTGGGATTTGGGCGTAGACAGGACCGAGACGAGAAAGGTGTCGCCCTGGGTGAGGACGTGCTTGACGAGGCTCTGGGCTGTCATGCTGGAGGCCAGACTGACGGTGGGACGGTAAAAGTAGGAGGCGAGGTAGTCTTCCCCGCCGCCGTTAAAAGTGGAAGCGAGACTCTTTGGGAGAATGGAGAAGCCATCTGCGCGGGCGAGTCGGGATGCGGACCAGAGATAGACCACCAGCAGACTTGCGCCGTAGGAGAGCTGACCGACGGCGAAGGGGAGCACGCCGAATTCGACGCCAGCCCTGGAGGCCCAGAAGGCGGTGGCAAAGGTAACGGTGCATCGGAGGAAGGTCGCGATGGACTCGGCGGTGGCGCGGGTGCCAAAGCGTAGGCGTGTCTGCATGAGAACGAAGCAGGGTTCCGAGAGGAGTTCAAGGATGGCGGCTAGGGCGTAGAGGCGGAGGGCCAGGAGGAAGTTTGGCGTCTGGGCGGTGGACGAGTCGACAGAGGAGAGGTACAGCCATCCGAGGCCGATGGTGACAAAGAAGCCTAGGAGGACGGCGAGGTAGCCCAAATTGACCACGGCCTGGCTCTCTCGACCTATGCGAGCTTTCGGGTCGTCATCCTTTTTGCTGTCGGAGGAATGGCCTGCGGCGTTGCCTTGAGTTTCCTGGCGCTGGACGGCAACGCGCAGGGATTCTCGGGCGAAGAAGAGGACCGAAAGGTAGTAGACCTCCAATTGAGTCGAAACGCCGAGAAGGCGGGCAGTCAGGAAGCGGAGGAGAAGCTGGTTTGCGATGAAAGTGACTGCGCGGGAGCCGATTTGGAGGATGATGAGGAGGGAGGCGCCGCGAACGACGGTTTTGCTGGCGTCCGTGTTGGTGTTTACCGGGGCAGACACGGACGCAGGTTCTTCGGGAGATGCCATTGTTCCGTCATCCGGTCATTGAGTGGGTTGAGGTAAAGAATGGCCGCTCCCAAAAGTTGTTCCCGTGGGTGTATCGGGGTGTAACCTCGGACGGATGTGGTGCGGTGCGGTGCGGGAGACGTCGGGATGTTGAGGCAACGGTGGTTTTTGGGCCACGGCGTTCCTGCGTTGACGTTGTGGTGAGCCGAAAGTGGTTTGCGGGTGGGATGTGCCGGGCGGGTGGGGGGCCCACAGCGGCGTCAGGCACGCTGCCGGACCGCCTCAGGCAGGTAACTCAGAGCGCAGTCGGACCATTGAGCGCTGGACGTTCCTGCACTTACAGGCTAAGGTCTTGGGGTACTGTACAGGTCGATAGGTAACTAAGGCACTTGGGTACAGGGCAGGTACAGATACCCGGGACAGGCAGGCGAACCTCTAGTCTGGGAACCCCGATAGCGATGGGAAAACATGATGCATTTTCCTGTTTAATGTCGAATTCAATAGTACGATGCTTACACATGTTCTGTTATAGACTCATCTGCGGGCTTACCAGATCGGAGTTGTGATCTCATCCTCTTGTGCATGTTACAGCTATCCCAGTTGACAGACGATGAACCAGCCAAGGCTTCAAAGTACCTTGGGTGTGAAGGTACAGATCGCTGCAATCAGGTACGTTAGAACAAAGGTATATCCAAATGACGCACAGGTTCGACTTCAAGTTCGGATTTCAAGGGAATCTCGTATACTATACAGATCCAGCGGGTGTACGTACATTGGCGAAGTCATCTCTCATAGCCCTCAATTACCGTCAAATCACCTCCTGCATCGTACAGCAGCAGCCAGCCTAGGTACGCAAGTCATCGAGGAGAGATGTAAGGAGACCTGCCAAAGAATGCTCATAATCTCAAGAGACTCGGCAGCAGCACATTCAATCCGTGCTCAAGAGGCACTGGCTCGTGTTCAGTTGTTCCTGAAAAGGGCGGGGGATGTCTCGGGGGGGCCGCGAATAAGTGGGTCGCTCCGGGGCACGGGGCCGAATCAAACGACACGGGTGACCTCGGCCGACCGCCTCAGAGAACAAGAACGCGCCGCATGCGCGCATGCGCTAGCGCCTGGGTTTGCTGACATTACCAGCGTTGGATCTATTCTTCTTCTTCTTCTCTCCAATGAAGTTGTGGCTCGGCATTTTGGGGGCCCCTGATTTTCGTAGCCAAACTCAATTCCACAAGGCAAGGTATAGCCTGTGCCTGTCAATCTGTTGGTTCACGACGCACATCACTTCCATGAACACCTTACTAAGTAATAAGATCTTAGACTTTGGGTGGGGGCAGAAAGTCTACTTTCCGCAACTCTACTCCAACAAGCGCGGCGGTTCGGATTTCCATGCACGATACCCCGGACAAAGAGGTACCAAGAGTCTAGAACCACTTAACCACATGTTGGGGGTCGCATCCGTCTTTTCCGCCCTCCCCCCCCCCCCCTCGGCCGGGCGCCTACAGTCCTAGACCAGGGGGTGAGCTACGCGACGGCCGAGCGTGATGTGGGCTACGATGCTACGCTCCCCCCTCGTGACGAACCAGTCAAAACACCAAGACCTTTGCGCCGCTGCCATGGCATTTCCGTGCCGAACCGCATAGCTGTCAGCCGCAGTCCATCTACTTTATCAGTCGTGTCTTAAGCAGTGACGTCCATGCTCTCAATTATTTCCTCTCACACACTCTCTTTGACCTCATATCTACACGGAGACGTCACCCTCCATCTACCGTCACACATTCGACCCTCGTCCAGTCATAGTCTCTCATTTTGGCACGTTGCATGTCCCTCGTTACCCCCCCCCATTCTCTCTCACGATCCTTTCAGCGAAGAGATCCCAACCTCGTGGACGCTCCTGCAACGCCGTTTCGTGCCCTCTCCATGAGAGTCGAACCCCCTTCGTGTGGATGAGATCCCTCTCACTGCCGTTCGTTTTCCTGTTCATCTTGGATCATCAGATTGAGAGGTCATTGGAGAAGTAGATCCAGGGGTTCAACGTTACTCGTTGAGTTGATTCCAAGAGTATAAAGACACTGCTTCATCCTGCATCTCGTGTCAGTTTTGTATGGATCGGGTTACTCATCTCATAAGAACATAATCAACATGCGCCGAACCACTCTGTTTCACATCACATCCACTGTGGTAGCAGCGCAGTCCGCCGATCTCACCAGCCATGTCCTAACAGATGTGAGTCCACCAAAGTCACGTACAATGCCTCCTGGCGACTAACACCCCCAGACCGGCTCCGTGGGAGGCGGCAACACCTTCCCCGGTGTCTCCCGCCCCCTGGGCATGGTGAAACTCGGCCCGGACCTCGAAAACGGCGTCGACGCCTACTCGGGCTACCTCCCCGCCGGCAACTTCACCGGCTTCTCCATGCTCCACGAGTCCGGCACCGGCGGGGCGCCCAAGTACGGCGTCGTCAATCAGATGCCCGTCGTCGGCGTCCTGGACAACCCGTTGAGGGTGAACCAGAGCACGGATACCCGGGCCGCGCCGGATGAGACGGAGCTCGGGTATTACAGAGCGTTCCTCGGGTCCGGGGTCGTGGTGGAGTTGGGGGCTTCGGACAGGGCTGGGATGTATGGGTATACGTTTCCTGGGAACAATGGCAGCAGCGGGAACGGCACGAGCAACAGCATCATTGTGGATGTCTCGCATGTTCTGCCGTCGTATAGAGGGCAAGGTCTCGGGCAGAACTACCTCGGCGGAGGGATCGAGGTTTTTGATAGCAGTGATGGGTTTCATTACGAAGGATACGGGTACTACGATAACGTAAGTCCATCTCTCCCATACCATCGAGCTATGACTGAGTACTCCAGGGCTGGAACCGCGCCGCCGAGTGGAGAGTCTTCTTCTGCGGCTACTTTGACCAGCATCCCTCATCCTTCAAAACCTTCCTCGGCACCGACCTCACATCAGACGTCCTCGCCGAGTACGGCAACGAAACGAACTCCTTTGAATCTCGGACGCAGCGTCTAGGTGCCGTCTTCACTTTTACCGACTCTGTCGTCACGTCCCGCGTCGGCGTCTCCTTCATATCAACCGCCCAAGCATGCCGTAACGTCGACACCGAGATCCCCGCCGGAACAAGCCTCTCGACCGTCAGGACGGCGACCCGCGAGGCGTGGACGACTCAAGTTCTCTCCAAGGTGACGACAACAGAGACCAACACGACGAAGCTGGACCAGCTGTACACGGCCCTCTACTTTATGAACCTCCTCCCCACCAACAAGACGGGCGAGAACCCGCTCTGGGAGTCCTCCGAGCCATACTACGACGACATCTTTACCTTTTGGGATACAGTACGTCCCTCCCGGCCCTCCTTCTCATGATCCATGTCTAATACACACCAAGTTCCGCTGCACCACCTCCCTCCTCCAAATCCTCCAACCCCAAGCCCACGAAGAATTCATCCGCTCCACAATCGACATCTGGCGCAACACAGGCTTCGCCTCCGACGCCCGCTCCTCCTTCTTCAACGGCGCCGTCCAAGGCGGCTCCAACGCAGACAACGTCCTCGCAGACGCCTACGTAAAGGGAGTCCGCGGCGCCGTCGACTGGACAGCCGGCCTCGCCGCCATGCTCACAAACGGCGAGACCACTCCGCCTCCCAACAACGACCCGCGCGACCCAACGTCCTCCACAAAGGAAGGCCGCGGCGCACTCCCGGACTGGCTTGATCTCGGGTTCATCTCCCCTACATATGCCCGCGCCGTCACGAGAGCGGTAGAGTACGCCGTCAACGACTTCGCCATATCCCAAGTCGCGAGGGGCCTAGGCCAAGACGACACCGCAAACACATACCTCGCCCGCTCCCGCAACTGGCGCAACCACTGGAACGCAAACATGACAGCCCACAACTTCACAGGCTTCCTCGGGCCCCGAAACGCCAACGGCACGTTCCCAACCCCCGCCCAAAACCCCCTCGACTGCGGCGGCTGCTACTGGGCGGAAGCATACTACCAAGCCACGCCGTGGGAATATACCTTCAACGCGCACCACGACGCATCGCACCTCGTCGCCCTAACAGGCGGTCCCGAACTCTACGCCGCGCGCCTAGAAAAGACGTTTGAACCGGGCGGGTACGCGGGCAACGCCGCCTTCGGCAACACAATCTTCAACCCGGGCAACGAGCCCTCCTTCGGCACGCCGTACCTCTTCAACTTTGTCAACAAGCAGCACCTCTCCGTGCGCCACGCCCGCTTCGTCGCAAAGGCGTATTACAAGCCCACGCCGGACGGGTTGCCGGGGAACTCGGACGCGGGCGCCATGGAGTCCTGGCTGCTGTGGAACATGATTGGGCTATACCCGCTGACAGGGCAGACGACGTTCCTCGTCGGATCGCCGTGGTTTTCTGACCTGACTATTGCGCTCGGCGGCGGGCGCGAGTTGAAGATTACGACGACGGGCGGGTCGGAGGATGTGTACTACGTCCAGAGCCTGAGGGTGAACGGTGCAGAGTGGGATAAGACGTGGGTGACGTGGGATGATGTATTTGCCGGGGGCGGGACGCTGGAGTTTGAGCTGGGGCCGGAGCCGGTGGAGTGGGCTACGGGAGAGCTGCCGCCGAGCCCGGCGAGCGGTGATGATGGTGGTCAGAAGGGGGAAGAGGTTGCGGCGCTGAGGCAGCAGCCGCAGCCGCAGCGGCGGCGGCGGCGGGAGGAGCAGGACGAACAACAGGTCCTCTAGTGGTGTTAGGAGACGTGTCTGCGTGAGAAGAGCACCCTCTTCCGATACTCTTCTAGATGCAAAAAGCAAAAGCTCAGCCCCCCTCACGAGGGGCTTACGAAAACCACCAAGAGCCTCTTACATCCTATTCCTCAGGTGTGAATGCTGGTAATTTCTCGCGAGACTCGAACTCTTGACCCATAGGAGCGGGGCAATTCAAACGAGACGTCATGGGCCTTGAGGACAGTATCGAACAAGTCTGTTTCCTATAGAGGTAGGGAGGGCGAATGGATGTGAAATCAACAGACAGGATCTAATGTATATTCAAGGAATGGAAACACTACACGACACTGTACCCAGATGTATTGATACACGGAAAACCCCCAACTCAGTCAGCCTCTTGTCATGTATTCCTCGCAAACTCCTCGCTATGCCAATATTGCTGAAACATAGAACACGAGAGTAAGGGTATCAAACTTGTAAATGCAAAGCTACGGCACACTCTTTCAACGGGACTCG